TTGTCGTAGATCCTTGGAGCTGGGCCGTCGCCGCCGTCCCTTGGACGAGACCGTGATTCTGGGCTTGCCCATCGAGTCAAAGAAGAGCTTCTTACGGGTGCTCTTCTCAATCAGATGCTTTTCTGGCGGACCGAACACCTCCATAATGCAAGCAAGCTGCTCCTGTTCGTTCTCTCCCGGGAAGATGGGATACCCAGTGAAGAGTTCCGCCAAGATGCAGCCGACACTCCACATGTCAATGGGCATCCCGTATGACATGCCCAGGATGACTTCGGGTGACCGGTAGAACCGACTCTGGATGTACGTGTAGACCTTCTCGTTTTCGAAACAACTGGAACCAAAATCGATGACCCGGATGGCAGAGCTCATGGGGTGTACAAGAAGGATATTCTCCGGCTTCAAGTCACAGTGGATGACCTTCTTGTGATGCAGAAGCACCAGTGTACTGAGAATCTGTTTGGTGAAACGTCGGATGAGCTTGACATTGAAGCCCTTGAAGTCATGCGCTTTGGTGAATTCGTAGAGGTTGATCCCCAGGAGCTCCGTGGAAATACACAGATGCCCGCGGAAGTAGAAACTCTGCGTGAAGTTGACAACACTGTGGCGACGGTGGGGATCCCATTCCTTCAACTTTTGAAGCAGGTTGACCTCGATCAAAGCTTGCTGGTGGAATCTCTTCTTGTTCCGAATGATCTTAATCGCCACCAAACCCCCGGTCTTGTGGTCGATACAGCGCACCACCTGGCCGAAGCTGCCCTTACCCAGAACATCGATAACTTGGTAGCGATATGCGAGATGGTCGCCGATCACAATGTTGTAGTCGCCACGATCATCGTCGTAACCGAAGTTGGCCGCCTGGGCATTCAAATCGCCGACGTGCTTCTTCGCATTCTTGGTCCCGCAAAAGTAGATGTCCTTGAAATCGATGATCTCCCCGCGCTCAAAGATGTTCAAGCCAGCCATCCGGAGTGCCTGTGCCGGACTGACACGGTCTTTGGGGCTAGCCTTGCGGCGCAGGTCATCCAGCTCCCTGGCTGCAATCTCAGTGTCCTTCCGCCGGCTCCCGAGTCGACGCATCTCCTCATCACCAGCCAAGATGTCAGGATCAATCTTGGGTTCAGGAGCAGAAGTTGGTGGTGCCGGGGTATTCGACTTCGCATTGCTGATGATCTTATGTACCGGCGACAGGATCGACGCGCCCGGGCGATAGGCAATCCCGTCACTTCCACCGGATTCGTTGGAGCGACTGGGCTCCAGTCCGAGACTGTTTTCACTGCCGACGCTGGGGTTTCTAAAGGAGGAGTTGGCTGTGCTGGATATAGAGGATTGGCGGCGGGACTTGAGATAGCCGGGTTTCAAAGTGGGGCTCGTGTCCTTAACCGTAGTCAGATTGTTCCAGGTGGCTGAAGCCGGGAGCTTCGGAGGTGGCATGTGGTCATATTTGGTCGGATCCGTGTTGTTTTCTTGTTGGTCCTTGGAGTTGCTGCGTTTGTTCAACGTGATCTTGTTGCGGAAAGACGAGCCAGAAACACTGTTGTTATCGGGATCTGATGGGGTTGATATCTGGCTGACCGTGTCAGCGCTCGAGATCGCAGAAGACTGAGTTTGCGGACGAGGCCCATTGGGTTTATAGATCGGACCCGACTTCGGCGAGTGTTCACCACTCGGCTTTTGACGTATATAGCTATAATCGCTGTTATTTTTGGGCAGTGAGTAGGCAAGGTAGGGTGACAGGGTCCGCGCCCCTCCGGTCGTGTGGTCAAACGACGCAAGCGCACTCGAGCTGCTGGCCGTCCTCAAGGACGGCCCCGAGGAGCTGACAATAAAATGAGACGTGCTGCTTCTGGCTTGGGTTTGCGGGACGCTGTAATCCTCATCGTGCACAGAGAAGAAATTCGCCTTGGAGGCCGTCAGCGGTGTGGTTGGGGTCTTCGACATGATCTGACCCGATGGCGTGTGCGGCTTGGGTACTTCTTCCCGCTCCCGCAACGCTTCAATCTTAGATGTCATCGGCGTTCCCAGGGGAAGGAGGTTCAAGGGCGGCAGCTTCAGCGGCTGCAAGCTGCGTTTCCCATACTGAACGGACTGCCTCGGCTTCGCTTCTGGGGTTTTCATGGAGCTCTCATCCGAGGCGTCGGGCCTCAGGTACTTGGCGTTGTTGACCGCCAGATTGTGGTCAACATCAGGATCCAACTTGGACTTCAACAGTACATCCAATGGTAAGCTGGATTTGCGCACCGGTTGGTCTGTCGGGGTCGGTTGGTCGGCATCGCCTCGGGGGGATTCGTAAGCCTTGGGAATGGCAGGCACGGGAGGGACATCCTCATTGGCGGTAGCTGTCTGCTCCACACGGGGTTTCGGAGTGGGGAGCCGAGAGGACGATTGGATTTGAGAGAGTCTGGCTTGGAGCGACCCGGACGAGTTCCGCGCGGAGTTGTAGCTCGTGTTTGATGACACGGACAGACCCGAGCTGTAGGATTTCCGGTTCGGGTCGGGAGTCGTGCGGTTCGACGAGGGGGTCACACTTTTGCGGGGAATCTGGGATGGCGATGGAGCACTGGAGCGCGGTCGTATGGGTAGCGGATCGGCGTCAGTCGGAGGGGTATAGGGCATGGAATCAGCCGGAGCCGCGATGGACATCCGCCTCATCCGCCGGGCGTCGGTGGGACTGATCGTTCGTGCCCCAAGACCGGTTGCGTGCGGGGGCATGGCTGACACTCGTTTTGACGACGAAGTGGGCGTGACCGCCCGAGGTGCCCCCGGCTTGGACGGGGTCCGGACTGCATTGGTGGAGGAAGAACGAGAATGGTCGAGCGCAGGTCCCGGAGCAATCACGGGGTCGCGCGGTTCTCGCAATTGGGGCTGGAAGGACTTGGCCTTCATGTTTCGCACACTGGCCGGAACGCGGCTTCGCTCGTCTCGATCCAACTCGTGGAGCTGCGGTCGAGGTTGCAGAAGATTCGCCGGGTCAGTGCGGGTCTCGACGCTCGCCTTTCTAGATGATATACTCTGTCGCCTGGCAGCCGCAGTTGTCGGAAGGGGCCCAGTCCCGAGGGACTTGCGCGGGGCTCTGGTCCCTGTCAGGCCCGTCCCAAGTGTATGGACCAGGCTCTGTCGACGACCCCGAGCAGCCGGGCCTTCTGTCGCCGCACCGCCCTGCGTCGATTCCGCCGAGGACCCTTGGCTGGTGAAGCCCTTCCCGCGCACGGAATTACTCCTGCTCCGTCCCAGGCCAGTATTCTCGTTGGTTGGATTGGACCAGTGAGCGGCCCCGGTCCCCGGCATGGGGAAATGATTGAGACTTGGTTCCTGCATGATGCTATTGTGAAAGTCGTCGAAACTGACGGGGGCCAGAAAATCCGTGCTCTCAGGGGGAGTGTTGTTGTCCGTTTTGGCCAGGTTGCTCATGCTCGTCGAACGAAGGCTGCTTTGGGTCGAATCAATAGAAGAATTTCCGGAGTGAAAGAACGAGCCAGACTGATTACTAGAAGTTCCACATGCGTTAGAATCCGTATAGGAGGCGGTGAATCCATGAAAGGAGAAAAAGGGGGGGTGAGGCAAGGTGGAAATTGGCAATCGGTACCTCCGGCGAGACGGGTCCTGCGGCCGCGGGCCCTGGGGAGCCTTTTGATCTCGAATGGATAATCTTCTTTTACCCATGATTCCGATGCGAGTGCCGGATGAACTTTTGGCGGAGTGGGAGGACGTGTCGGAAAGCAAGGTGGTCGTAGAAGCATGTTTCTGCAATCGGCGCCGTGCGGAGCCTTCTATCAACGAGGCAAATTTGTTAATCTCCCGGATACGGGTCCCAATTTGCAATGCATGAGTCCGATGCTTACCTCCTGGGCTTGATTCTTCATTCCGGGATGGACTGGCCGGCCTGGACCGCGGGTTACGCGACTGTGCCATCCCCGAGGGTTGTTGAGAGGGTATCTTTTCCGGCATGCCCGATTTCCGACGGGGTTAGCACGGAACGGGAGAGATAGATGGTTAGAGAGTGGAAAAAAAGATCGATGCAAAATCAATCCGAATCGCAAAAGTTGTCAGAAGTCAAGGACGTCTCAGTGTATTAACAGGAGACAGCCTTGACCAACACCGTCGCACGACCCATCAATCGTCGTTACCGGTCCATTGCGGGGGATCCCAACCACAATCCGAGATTCCAGGTCGTCGTTGAGCAACCTGGGAAAGGATCCTTGTGACCAGCGATGCTCTGGGTGTGTGTTGGGATTGACCGAACCGTCTGAGGAGGGGAGGGGTGGAGGAGGATGTTTATCACTCCCACGGGTGTTGTTGATTGTGCAAAAGAGGAAGAATCACTGGTGGTTGGCCTGGGGCAGCAGTTGCTGGGCTTGGCAGGGAAGGATGGCGTGGATGCCTGAGGAACGGCCGGCAATACAATCAATGCGGAGATGCGGCAAGCACAACCAGACTATCATGGAGCTCCACGATGAGGGACAAGATTAACACAAAATAGGGTGGATGAATGAAAATCAAAGTAAATAAATAAAATGAAAATGAAAGAGAAAGAGAAAACGAAAAATAGAACGATCGAACGAGAGTGGAGTCCGACGAAATTAGTCAACCATATCTGGATGTCTTCTCTACTTCCCCTGCTCCTTTTCTGATGGTTTAGTTTCGCTCTAACGGTTAGTTTGCCTTTTAGTCCTTGGTTTTCAGGCCTTTAAGGGGACGTCCTGCAAATGCTGCAAACATGGCCGGATTGGGATCAGATCCTGTTATTTTGGGTGTAATGAATTTACCAATCTTCCGTCCGGTTCTTATAGAAAAGTGACCTCCAAGAAAGTATCATTCGTAACAATGATACACCGCTAGAACTCGGCTCTCCGCCTTCCAACGCATGTGCTTTTCGCCGGTCTGCCAACTACCGAAGTCGCTTCTCTTCCCCTCTCCTTCACCTCCAGATCTTTCCCATCGACGCCTGGAAATGCCGTCGGTTCATCATCGATCTGGTGTGACTTCCATATTAGTCTGGTATCATGGATGAATACACCCCCGACGCTATCGTCAATCGGAACGAACCGGTGCCCGTGATCTCCGCGGGGAAGACCAAAGATGACGCAAAACCCCCCAAGTCCCAACGCAGCTCGCATACCAGGTCGGGATCGCGGTCGCTGCAGGACAGGCTGTTCACAAAGTATGTCTTCTTGGTACTGCCTGAATCGAGCTGGAAGGGCTGGAAAGAACTGAACTGACTGGTTCAAGAATCCTAGAACAAGTCGTCCCCCGGGATGGAGAGGCTGGGTCGATCTCCGTCGAAGACAGACTGAACGCTGCAGACGCCAAGCGGCCTGCGTTCAGTCTCCCATTAATGGGAAATAACTTTCGTCGATTTAACGCAAGGTAGGCTGGAGCGATAGGACGTTGACGGTTGAGAGCTTCCGTTGCTGATACCATGCAGAATTGGCGTCGTTTTCCACTTCCAAAACCAAGTCGAGCGCGTGCTGAACTGGAAGCACCCTTCCCACACATTCTCCTTCTTATTCGCCTATTCTTTGATATGTCTTGAACCCCATCTGCTCGTGGTCCTCCCGATGATGGTCTTTTTACTGTTCGTCATGGTTCCTGCCTTCCTCGCTCGCCACCCCCCACCGCCGGCACCGTCGACATCGAGCATCATGCCCTACTATTCCTTCCAGGGCCCCGCGCTGGCTCCCGCGAAAACCATCACACCGGCATCGGAGACGTCCAAGGACTTCTTCCGGAACATGCGCGATCTGCAGAACAGTATGGCCGATTTCTCGGATGTGCATGATTCACTGGTGTCGGTCTTTGCGCCGTTGACGAATTTCTCCAACGAACGACTGTCATCCGCCGTTTTCCTCATGGTGCTGTTTGCAACGATTGTGCTGTTTGCCGTGTCCGACCTGATGCCGTGGCGGGTAATCGCGCTCATCGGCGGCAACGCGGCCATCCTGTCCAAGCACCCGAGCCTTCAGGATCTCCTCCAGACCATTGCATCGGATTTCACCAGCGAACGCTCCGACCGGGACCGGGCATTCCTCAGCGCGCACAAGGAGGCTCTAGAGGCCGCAGGCCTGTCGCTGGACTCCTTGCCGTCCGACCCGTCCGCCGCGATGTCGCTGCTGGGATCCTTGGCCGACATCACGCTGGACACATATCCCGAGGAGCGCGAGGTCGAGATCTTCGAGATCCAGTGGCGCTCCCTGGCCCCCTTCTCCGAGACGCCTTGGGAGCATTTCGTATTCAGTTCCCTGCCGTACGACCCGCTCTCCCCGTACCGTTTCGCCGGGGACCGACCCAAGGGCTGCCGCTTCTTCGAAGACGTCCGACCGCCCCATGGGTGGGCCTGGAAGAGCAAAAAGTGGGAACTCGATCTAGACTGCCGGGAATGGGTCGTCGAACGGATGATCACCGGCGTCGGCTTCGAAGTTTCCGGCAGCAGTCCAGACGAGGGATCCTCGCCCGGCGACGAAATCGGCGGCTGGGTCTGGGATCTGCCGTCGGATGAGTCCCGCCGGGAGGACACCGTCGTCGCAAAGGCGCTCGGGCACGAAACCTTTGACGCCGATCCAAAGCCCAGCACCGACGACACCAAGGCGAAGCGCAAGGGGAAGGGCAGGGTATCTCGCGATTTCGAGGAAAGGGGAGGCGCCGCGGCGCTCCAGATGGGCGAATGGCGTCGACGACGATGGGTCCGCATTGTACATAGAGTCAGCGTGCCATCCGAGGCTAGCTAGCAGATTGGATATAACATTACCTTCACCTTTTCACTGCATCTGAAAACTTTCAGCCATCATAATTCTATATTTTATACGTAAGGAGGGGGTTTTAACTTTGGACTTCTGAACTGGTTATTCTTATTTATAGCCTGATAGGCTATTTTATAATAGCGCTTGGCTGGGCCATGTTCAATATCACTAAGCGCCGGGGAAATGTAATTATCGGGCGATAGACTGCAGGGCAGTACTTATGTTTTACAACTACATCCTTCATGAAACACTAAATATCCACGGCGGCTAAGAGTGTGCGTATATAAACGTCTTGATATTGTCGCGAGCAAGACTATCACGCCCAACATTAAGACAAACGGAAGTGATTACGCCCCATCTCGAACCCATATTCACTACATATCATTATACTATACGGTTCATACTTGGCAATTTTCTAGACAAACATATACATATACATACCTATACATCAGTATATAATACAATGCCCCAAGAACTACACAATCACCCTTCAACCTCACCACTCACAGTCACCAACCCCCGACTTCCACCTCCACCTCCACCTCCACACACCCCCCTCCCCAACGAAGCCTACACAATCGGCTGGATATGCGCCATCCACGTCGAATACGTAGCTGCACGAGCCTTCCTCGACGAAAAGCACGGTCTCCCCACACAAGTCGCCCCCAACAACAGCAGCGTCTACACGCTGGGCCGAATGGGGTCCCACAACGTGGTCATCGGGGTGTTAGCCGCAGGGGAGTACGGGATTGCTTCGGCGGCGAACGTGGCCAGGGACATGCTGAACAGCTTTCCAAATGTGCGACTCGGGTTGATGGTAGGTATTGGTGGGGGAGTGCCGAGTGAGAGGCATGATGTGCGGTTGGGGGATGTTGTTGTTAGTGTTCCTTGTGAGGGGGTGGGTGGGGTGTTGCAGTATGACTACGGGAAAACGGAGCAGGGCGGGGACGGTTGGACGACGAGGTTCTTGAACCTGCCGCCGGTTGCTCTGCGTGGTGCTGTGATGGATCTTGCGGCGCGGTATGAGGAGGAGGGGAATGGGTTGGAGGATGCTGTTGATGATGTTTTGGGGAGGATGCCGAAGCTGAGGAAGGGATATCAGCGTCCGGAGAGGGGCAGGGATAGGTTGTATCAGAGTGGGTTTGTACATTCGGGGGAAGCCTGTGTGGAGGGCCGTGGTGAGGATCCGATGAATCTTGTATGGAGGCCTGAAAGGGGTGAAGAGGGTGAGAGTTTGGAAATTCACTACGGGATGATAGCCTCTGCAGACCGGCCGATGAGGGACGCTCGAGTGCGGGACAAGCTTGCCGCAGAGAATCATATTCTTTGCTTTGATGCATCAGCTGGGGGGCTTATGAATTACTTTCCATGTCTGGTTATCCGCGGTATATGCGACTACTCGGATTCGCATGAGAGTTCGGAATGGGAGGGGTTTGCGACGATGGCGGCTGCGGCATATGGGAAGGACCTTCTTTGTCGAGTTCCAACAAGTCGAGTCGAGGCTGAGAAGAAGCTCGCTGATATTCTCTCAGGTGAGTAAAAGGTCACTGTTTGTGGAATTGCAGTCACTGATTAGGACAGATGTGCACGAAATGGTTGGAATCATCCACGACAGAGAACATGATCAAGACCGTGAGACGATCTTGAAATGGCTCGCTCCCACCGAAGGCCTTAAGTTTTCTTCCAAGCAGAATGAATACGTAAGTCTTCGGACGCACAGGACTGGCGAATGGTTTCTCAAGACGCCGGAGTTTCAGACCTGGATGAGAAATGACAACCGGACCTTATTCTGTCCTGGCATCCCCGGGGCCGGAAAGACACTTATGACATCTATTGTCGTCGATCATCTCGAGAAACACTTCGACAACGCCAATATTGCGTACGTCTATTGCAGCTTTGGATTGCAGGACCAAACACCAGAGGGATTTCTTGGCAGCGTCTTGCAACAGTTGGTTCGGAAACAGTCTCCTCTTCCTAAGATTGTCAAGGATCTATACAGCCGACACAAAGATAAGAGTTCACGGCCGGGGCTTAAGGCACTTTTGGAGGTCTTAAACTCTATTATCCCTTCCGATTCAAGGACATTTATCATCGTCGATGCGTTAGACGAATGCCAAAACCATAATCGGTGCCGAGACAGCTTTCTGTCGGCGATCTTTGCTGCTCAGGTCAAGACCCGACTGAGCTTCTTCGCGACGTCAAGGCCCCAGGGGGTGGAGGCTAGGTTTCGCGAGAGCATCGTGCGAGAAATTGTCTCTACGAAGCATGATCTGAAAATATATCTGGACAACAGGATTTCGTCATGGGAAAAGGTACACGGAACAGACTTAGATGGCCTTCGAACTACGATCAAAACGGAAATTATCACGGCGGCTGACGGAATGTGAGTCGAGCACACTGTATTAACATCTACATATCACTAAATGCCATTTATAGGTTTCTGTTTGCAGTCCTCGATATGAACGCACTGCAAAGCCTGGAAACAAAAGGAGAGATCCAGGATGCTTTAAGGAACCCCTACAGAAGAGAAAACAGACTACTCGAAGCTTACGGGCAAACGATGGAAAGAATCCAAAGGCAGGAAGAAAGCCCGAAAAGACTCGCCATGTGGACTCTGGCATGGGTCCTTTATGCCAGACGTCCACTATCCGCGGTAGAGCTTCGGTACGCCCTTGCTCTGAATGCAAAGCTAACGGAGGCCGAGTTTGAGAGTTACCTTCCTAATATAAGAAGGGTTCTATCTCTGTGTGCTGGGCTAGTGAGTTTCGATGAGACGAGCAAAACTATCGACTTCGTCCACAAGTCGACGCGAGATTACTTCGAGGCAACAAAGGGCATTCGGTTCCTTGATGCGGAACTGAAGATCTCGAGGGTCTGCGCTGCCTACCTCTCATTTGGCGCCTTCAGGAGCGGGTGCTGCCAGACGGACGAAGACTTTGAAGAGAGACTGCAGACACACCCGTTCTATAACTACGCAGCAAACTACTGGGGCCATCATGCTCGCGAGTCTGCGATTTTGTGCCCAGAAGTTATGAACTTTCTCGAGTGCGAGACGGCAGTCCAAGCATCGACCCAGGCACTCCTGGCTATCAAGTGTCACCCACGGAGTCCCCAGTGCAGCCAGAAATTCCCGAGAGAGATGACTGGGCTTCATTTGGCGGCGTGCTTCGGGGTTGAGGGAGCGGTCAAACACTTCCTCCAGAAAGGGATTGCAGTCGATGCGAAGGACACTGACGGCCATACGCCGCTGTCGTGTGCTGCGAGGAACGGGCACGTATCCATCGTCCAGATTCTGCTCGCATCAGAAAAGGCAAAACCCGATATGGAAGACAGAAGCGGCTAGCGGGCACATGACCTCTATCAGCTTACTAGATTTGTTGTCCAGTCGCGCCTGGATGTGTAGATTAGAGTTATATTTTGAAGCCCGAAAAAGTCACGGCACACCTAGTTGTTTTCGTGAAATTATATATAGATGATTGGTTGTGACCGGCCATGAGATGTACAAACCTATATTAAAAATTAAGAAAAAAATAAAAAACAAAATAAATAAATTTTAACATAGAAACAAAAGTGCTTAAACAATAAATGTACTGGTTCATCTAATATTTAAGACCAGGAGTATTTCGATATCGATAGAGTAGATGGAAGTTGACACATTCTGTCGTTCTGCAGGATGCGGTCGTGGACGGAGACGGAAGTTTAGCGCCCCAGCCTCCCCGCAGTCAAGCAATGTACCCTGGAGGATCGTTCAACGTCACTTTTCCCCGGACATGTCTCAATCTGCCATATCAATTGGCCAATTCAAGTGTCCTCATGTACTTGGATCAGGAAAATGAACCCCTCACTTCTTGCTCTCCAATATGGGTACGTTTTTAACCAAGAATTATTCGCATTGACCAAGAATGACTATGCTGATTGTTGAAGGACTCGGCCCACGCACGGCCGTCACCATGTGCCATGCCGTACTTTGCCACCATCCCAGCCATTGTCATCTCACTGCTAGTGGTTAGGCATCTGCTGGGTCGCATTTCGATGTTAGCTCGTCCTAAATGGATGAAGCCGTTTGTTTTGGAGCAGCCTCTGTGCCCTGAATTGCCGGTAGAGCAGACCAAACAGCGGATGGGCTGGGTGATCATCCTCTTTGCCATCACCATCGTGGGCGTTGCGGCAGAGGTGGTTAAGCTGGTGTTAACAGGTGCAGATTTTGCAGGTTATGCGCTTCTTATATCTTGGGTGCGTGACGTTTTCTTACCCCAGAGTACATTCTAATCAATCATAGGCCTTGGCCGCGCTTTTTGTGATAGTCGAAAGACCAAGGTCTTGTCCGACATCCCTACTGGCGTATTTCCTGGCGGTCTTCATAGTTGAAGTTGCATATATACTGAACCATCATGCTTTTGTTGCCACAAAGCTTGGTGCGTATTACACATCCGCAGGCGCCGCCTTAGCAGCCTGTGGGGTCATTCTGATAATGCCTCTACGAGGACCCTCGCTTGCATGTTTGGATATTGGCGTCGTGGGCCATACACCATCAAGCGACTACAGAAGCCCGGAAGACAACCTTCGTTTGTGGCAATTCCTAACGGTATCATGGATGTCGCCTCTGATGTCACTGGGCAAGAAGAGACAACTGCACGAAGAAGACGTTTGGTCCCTCGGGTTCGAGTTCCAGCATCGGCGACTGCACGATCACTTTCGGGTCCTGCGAGGGTCTGTTATCAGTCGGTTACTCCAGGCAAATGGGCTCGATGTTTTGATTACTGCTTCAATTGCAATCGTGCAGATGCTTTGCGGTATGGGTTCCGGTCTTGTTATTGGGATTGTTGCTGACGTAGTGTAGGGTTTTCAACGCCCGTGCTGTTACAGCAACTCTTGAAGTCGATGGAAAATACGGCTTTACCGAAACGCATCGCCCTGACATATGCTGTGCTGTGGATGGTGATCCGCTTGGTAGCAGCGCAGGCCCAGGTCCTCTTCCTGTGGTATTCAAGACGATGCTATGAAAGGAGTAGGGGGGAGATGGTCATGATGATTTATGAAAAGGCGTTATCTAGAAAGAATGTCTTTGACCAACAGACCTTGGAGAAGGGAGAGGGAGAGGAAGATCCTGACCAAGAGGCTCAAGCTTCCGACGAGGAACAGCCCATCGACCAAAAGAGAAAGATATGTGGGATCTTTCCCGTACGGCAAAAGCAGGAAAAGAAGAAGCCAAAGACAGCCGCATCCATGGGTAAAATTTTCAACTTGCTTCGTGGGGACGCTTACGAAGTGGCACAACGGTTCTGGGAAGTGGATAGTCTAGTCGACAAGCCACTGGGGCTCGTTATAGCCACCGTACTTGTTTGGAAGTTGCTCGGACCATCTTGCTTTCTTGGGATTCTTGCGATCCTAGTAGCCCAGGTCCTGAATGCAATCATCACACGAACGTTGCTCCGATGGGAACGCGTCCGAAGACTAGCGACTGATAACAGACTCCAGATATCCTCGCAATTCATCGAAGCGCTGCGACACCTTCGTTGGTATGGGTGGCAAAATCACTGGCTTCGGCAAGTAATGGAAGCCCGGCAGACTGAGTTGAACTTGCGTATTATGACCAGCTTGTGGGGTGTGTTGATTCGGTTCGTCAACGCATTTGCGAGCGGTCTCTTCCCCGTTCTGGCTTTATACGCATACACGCTACTGGCCGGGAATCCACTGCGAATCGATATTATCTTCCCCGCCCTGCAATTGTTCACCATGCTGGAAACACGTCTCAGGGACATTCCAGGATTAATTACCGTTCTCATCAACGCGTCTATTGCCATGGAAAGAATTGAAGATTTTATGGCAGAGCCGGACAAAGAAACAACAGCACCTGCGGTGAATCAGCGAGCCCCGCTTACATTGGATTCATGCTCATTTGCATGGCCTGGCACGTCCTATCCTGTCCTCTCTGATATCAGCCTACAGATATCAGAAGGCCTCACAGTCATATGTGGAAAGGTGGGCGTTGGGAAAACGGCTCTGCTACAGGCATTATTAGGCGAGCTGGACAGACTCGCTGGGTTCTCGGATATACCAAATGAGATGATAGGATACTGTGCCCAGACCCCGTGGCTACAAAGCATGAGCATCCGCGACAACATTCTATTCTCTGCTGCGTATGACGAGCAGCGCTACAAAAGTGTCCTGGAAGCCTGTGCTCTGCTCCCGGATCTGGCAAATTTCAAACACGGTGACCTGTCGTTTGTTGGGGAGAATGGGATTGGTCTCTCGGGTGGTCAGAAGGCGCGCGTGGCTCTGGCGAGAGCCGTCTACAGTAGCGCGAGGATTCTGCTCTTCGACGATCCCTTGTCTGCGTTGGACCATAATACTGCAGAGGACGTTGTTCGCAAATGCTTGTCTGGGCCGTTGATGAGAGGTCGGATCGTTGTGCTTGTGACACATCGTACCCATCTTGTTGGGCATGTTGCTGATCAGATCATCCATATCCGGGACGGTCGAGCTACTATAGAGCAGCGACAGGCCCACGTTTTCGAAGCTGAAGATTCCACGGGATCCTCACAGAGCGGAGTCGTGGACGTCGCGCCTGAGGCCGAGACCGAGTCTCAGGATGGCGCTGCCGTGCCAGAAAAGTTCATTGAGGAAGAAACCCGAGCTGAATGGGGCGTTCAAGCCAAGGTGTACTGGACCTACATAAAAGCCGGAAAGTACAAATGGTGGATCAGCCTTGTTATCATTCTCACGATATACCGTCTGGCGTCAATCGGCCAGTCGTGGTTCCTGAAGGAGTGGGGAGAAGCTTACAATGAGCTTCTCTTGCTCGTGGGATCCCTCACCTCCAAAGGAAAGGCACTGGCAACCAACTGGATAAGCCTATCGATCTTACCGGCAGGATTTAGTTGGCATCCGTCCAACCCCATGGACGGCTTCCCTCCGCCGATGGAGAATGTCAAGCCATGGCTGTGGGCGTTCTTTGCTATCACCACCTTCCAATCCTTCATGCTGCTCATCGGACAGCTCATGATGCTCATTATCGTATACTGCGCTGGAAAGTCCCTTTTTCAGCAGGTGATGGTGCAAGTCAGCCACGCGACATTCCGGTTCTTCGATACGACGCCAATTGGGCGTCTCATGAATCGTTTGACGTCTGATATCGGGGTAGTCGACGGAAATATCAGCCAGCAGTTCCAGGTCATCGCCTTCCAGGCGATCACATGGATATCCTCAATTGCTGTGATTGCATCAGTCACACCTTACTTCCTGGCATTTTCTCTCCTTTTGACAGCCGCGTTCATTTTAACCTTCCTCCGCTTCCTGCCTACATCACAGAGCCTACGTCGACTGGAAATGGTCTCGCTCAGCCCCCTGATCTCCAACTTTGGCGAGCTTCTCCACGGCCTGACAAGCGTGCGCGCATTCCACGCAGAAGAGCGATTCCAGAACCGCGTGATTGCCGTGGTCGACAAGTTCCAAGGCATGGACCACTTCTACTGGTCGCTCCAAAGCTGGCTAATGTACCGCTTCGAAAGCCTCTCAGCGCTTTCCACTTTCTGCCTGACCGTTCTCGCACTGTACACGAGGGTATCACCCGGCCTCGCAGCCTTCGTCCTAATCGCAGCCAGCAACTTCGTCGAAGCGACCCACGGCCTCTGCAAAGAGTACGGCCAACTGCAGATGGACTTTGTGTCCGTCGAACGAGTCGACGAGCTCCTTCACGTCGAGCAGGAAGACCCCGGCACCATCGACCCCCCGGCATCGTGGCCCAAATTCGGCCGCGACATCGTCTTCGAAAACGCTACGATCCGCTACGCGCCGCACCTCGACCCCTCCCTCACCGACATCAACATCCGCATCCCCGGGGGTTCAACAACCGCCGTGATCGGACGCACAGGAAGCGGGAAATCAACACTTGCAGTCTCCCTCCTCAGCGTCATCCGCCCAGAGTCTGGACGAATCCTCATAGACGGGCTCGACATCAGCCAGGTAGACACTGAAGCCCTCCGCAAACGGGTGACGTTCGTCGCGCAAGACCCTGTCCTCTTCCCGGGCAGCATCAGACTGAACCTGGACCCGACGGGCGAGTTCTCCGACGCAGAGTGCGCAGACGTTCTGGGCCGCATCTGTGGTCGACACGGGTGGACACTTGAGACGCACGTCGCCGCTGGAGGCCGCAATCTCAGCCAGGGCGAACGGCAGCTGATTGGTCTGGCGCGGGCTGTCTTGCGACGTAGCTCGATTGTAATCCTAGATGAAGCGACGGCGTCGATTGACCATGAGAGCTCGCTGGAGATCCAGCAGGTGCTGCGCGAGGAAATGCGAGAGTCGACGGTTATTACGATTGCGCATCGGCTGGAGGCGATCAAGGATGCGGATTATTATGTGGTGTTGGATGGGGGGAGGGTTGCGCGGCAGGGTTTTGTTGGTGATATGACTGAGTGATCAAAGTGTGGTGTGAGCACCTGAATGGTATTGCTGTTCGCATTTGAATATTATAGTATGACTGTCTAGGAAGGATCTTCGTAGCTCCCGCCTACCCCAGACCATATCACCTATCAGCGAGAATGCACCTATACATAGCTCAAAATCTCGAATAAGAATAGATTAGACCCAAGGTGCAAAGATGGATATATACAACTTTTATCCCAGATCAAACAAACGACCCAACGCCACGCGCCGCAATGAATGCAAACCATCATCAACCACCAACTCACGCCTGACCAGCCTCAAACTTGCGAATCCGCCGCTTGATATCCCCCACAGTCTGCTGCATAGGATTCAACTTCTTATCCCTCGCCATAGCAGCATAATCATCCCCATGCTTCTGCACCAACTTCTCAATCCACTCTCCCTCGCGCGTACTCGTATGGCGCGGCTTCTTGCCCAGAACAGCAGAATCCTCCTTCGCAGCCTGCATCTCCAACTGCCTGACGACCGCGCTCGCGTCCTTGCCCTGCGCCGCCTGTCCGACAGCAGCAATATCGACATCAACGGCCAAGTCGTTGAGCGGGTCGTTGAGCGGGTTCGCGCGCTTGTGCTTGCGGCCCGCGATCTCCACCTCGTCGTCGTTGATAACGCGCAGGATCCTGCCCGTCTCGGGGTCGCGCTCGACTCGCGTCTCGCCGACCTTAAGGTTCTTGGCGTTGGACTCGGCGCTGCCTTTGATGTGCAGGTTGTTCTCGGGGGCGTCGGCGAAGCCGGTGTCGGTGGTGATCCGTTGAGAGCCGCCGGCGGGGGCATTCAGACGGTGCATGAGGCCGAGGCGGCGGTAGTTTTGCGTGAGGGTGAGGTTGCGGTCCCTTGATTCTTGTTAGAGGAGGCTATTTAGTTGGAGTGTTGGTGGGCGTACCAGTTCTCGGCGATGATCGCATTGCCCAAGACATTGACCTTCTTCTTGCCGCTCTTCAGCCGGCCATTGCGCTTGGCGGTGGCCTTGGGCCGAGACGACCGGAGCTTCTTAGCTTGACGGATATTGGTCATGGTGTGGGGATATAAAGTGTGGTGGATTGGAGATGAGGTTGCAAGTTTTGCAGCGGGAGAAAAAAAATAAGAATGGATCTTATCGATTGCGGAGGCGCTAATCCAAATAGGGTATGTTTGTGTTGACTCCAGGAACTGGCTTGGCGTGTTTGTCTGGCCCCTGTCACTGATAAACATCCATCATCTCAGCTATCTCACCTACCTCAGCCTTGTATTTTCCTCATCTTACCTTCCTATCATTGTACCTGTCAGTATGGCCTGGAACTCTATTCTACCCGGGCGCCGAACCGGGCTGGCGCTGCTCTGCGGCGTCATTGCCTTTGCTGCTCTGGGCGCAGCGTACGATGCTGTCGCGGTGGGGGAGCTGTCCGTGGGTGAGATTGAAGATGAATTGCAGGTATTCAATTCTTCCCTAATTTTGGTGATAAGTTCAGTCTAACGAAGATAGAACTGCCCCCTCGTCGAGGTCCTTAACGAGCACAAACGCGCCACCGCTCCCCAAACGACCAGCCTCAGCTCCAAGATCTTCGCGGTCCTGTTCCCTGGCAGCCCAGCTGTGAATGCCCTCCTGGCAACTGTTTACATCTCAGGCCCTCCCAGTATACACCTACCACAACGCAATTCATAGAAGACAACGTATTGATCAGAACAGACTTCCTCCTGGCCCTCTGCCCCCCCAACATCGACCCCTCATCTCTGTCCGTCATGGTCGCCTTCGCAGTGGGTGGCTTGCTGGGCGACACGCTGTTCCACCTCCTCCCGGAGATCTTCCTGGGCGAAGACTCCCCCGAGCACGTCAGCTTCGTGATGGTCGAGCCAAACCGCAACCTCCTCCTCGGCCTCGGCATCATGGTCGGATTCTTCACCTTTGTCGCAATGGACAAGACGCTCCGCATCGCCACAGGCGGGGAGGGACACTCCCACTCCCATGGCCCGGAACCAACCCCTACCACCTCAACAGAGACAGAGGGCACCTCGACCAGCCTTGACACACCCACGACCGACCTCAAAAAGCGCAAGCAGCCCCAACCCACCCCCGCAGCCACATCATCCACCGACACAACCACACCCCCCAAGGAAATCAACCCCAGCGTCAAACTAGGCGGCTACCTCAACCTCATCGCAGACTTCACCCACAACATCACCGACGGCCTCGCCATGTCCTCCTCCTTCTACGCCTCGCCCACAATCGGCGCAACCACCACCGTGGCCGTCTTCTTCCACGAGATCCCCCACGAAGTAGGCGACTTCGCCCTCCTAGTCCAATCCGGCTTCTCCAAGCGCCAAGCCATGGGCGCGCAATTCGTCACCGCCGTGGGGGCCTTCCTCGGCACGCTTATCGGCATTGCCGTGCAGGAATTCGGCGGGAACAGCCACACCGCCACGGACGGAGGCAGCGCAGTCGGACTCCTCGGCACGAGCCTCTCCTGGGGCGATATGCTTCTCCCGTTCACTGCAGGCACGTTCTTGTATGTGGGGACAGTGTCGGTCATCCCGGAGCTGCTGGAGACGGGGAAGAATAAGGGCGTTGAGATCCGGAAGACGATTGTGCAATTTTTGGCTGTTGCGTTGGGCGCGGGGATTATGTTGTGGTATGTTTTTCTTTCTTTCTTTTTTTCCCTTGTTATCTCTTGCCTGGGTTTGGTTTGCTAACGTTGGGATAGGATCTCCTGGGATTGAGCCCCCACTGTCACTGTTTACCCCTCGAGATACAGACTGAGACCTGGCAGAGTGTACTACCTACATACCTAGGTAGATAGTCAGTCAGTCTGTCTGTCATTCATATAAACGAACACAACACAACCCGCTCAACCAACCAACCTACTATGCCAAATAACCAAACCAGACACGTTCACACGACAGATATACTCACATCTACTAAACCTACAAATATATAGACCACCTACTGTTTCCATTGTGTAGAGATATTTGTATTTATTTCTGGCCCAACCTCTAGAACCAGTACCGCCTAGCTCAGCAGGCTTGACCAAGATACACATGATAGACGGATAAATAGATAGTAGAAAGTAGATGAATAGATAGTTAAAATCAATGACGCAACCGAGAACGCCCCTGCCAGACGACCCACAAAACACACAGGATGAGGAGTTAAAAAAAGTGTAGGACAGAAGAGAAAAAAAAAAAGAAATGAAAATAGGGATGTGGCAATTACTCGTCACATGTACTGCTGGTCTATTCGTTGTAATGGTAGACCTGGACAAGTAGAAATCACGTTAGCAATAGTTTTGACAAACTACGCGCAGGAAGAAAGGACGATAGGAGAAGACGTACGAGATAATCAGGCAACCCATGCACAGTATACCCCAACCGCTGCGCCATGCGCGCGAACCCCTCCGTCTCAACGAGATGATAGAACGGAAAAGGCGGGAACATGGCGCCGTCGCGGTGGACGTCCGCCTTGACCATGAGGGCTGTACCGCCCACGCCATCAAGGTCGACGACACGACCGGGGTTAGGGGAGGAGAGGTCCGCCATGTAGGCCATAAGCGAGCGGTAGGTGGGGAGCTCGGCGTAGCCTTCGAGGAGGATTTCCTCCGGATCCATGGTATCGGCTAGTTCCTGCGCGGTGGAGCTATCGATCCACGAGTTGAAGTCGTAGGGACGGATGTCCATGGCCTTTTTCTCCGTGTTGTAGTAGCGCTGGAAGCAGTTTGGGACGATGACGGGGAGACTGTGGGAGGAGAGGTCCTGGATGAGGGAGCGGGGGGTCTCGATGATGTCGGCGTCGAGCCAGAGGACCCAGGAGGTGCTGGGGCCGAGGGTCGTGAAGAGGAGGGAGTTGCGGGCGCGGCTCATGGACTCGCGGCGGGCTTTCTGGGCGGACATCTTGTGCCGCTCTTTCTCGTCCTGCGACTGCAGCGGCGGGTCGAAGTCCTGGCGGAGGATGCTGATGCTTGCGAAGCGGTTCTTGATTGGGCCGGACTGCGTCTTGCTGATGGCTGCTTCGAGGGAAGCGACAGCGGAGTTGCCTTCGGCGGTGTGGGGCGCGATGAAGCCCAGGGAGATGAGCTCGTGCGGGTAGTCGAGGCGGACGAGGTTGTCCCAGAAGGCTTGGTAGAAGCGGGCTAGTGGGGTGAGGATGAGGACGCGCTCGCGCTGGCCGGCGGAGTCGCTGGTCGTGGTGAGGGAGTTGAGGTCGTAGTCGACGACGGGGGGCGGGGCGCTCTGGCCGTCATCGCGGATGGGCTGGGCCTTGTGGAAGGGTTTGGTGGGCGGGGAGAGGGGGTTCTGGGCGGCGTCTTGAACTCGTCGTTGCGACGAGGAGCCGGAGGTGTCGGTGAGGGGCGCGGCGTGGACGGAGTCGGCCAAGGGCGGGGAGGCAGAGGGCGAGATGAGGAAGATCAGGAAGCCGAAGGCGAGGAGGGCCGCGAGGAGCAGCGTGATTGGACTGGTTCGTCGCATCGAGCGTGCGACGGCCATCGCGGCCGTTTCGATGGTCGACGGGAGTCGGAATGAGAGCTGTGGTGCCTGTTGAAGTTGGGAGACCGTGTACGTGGTCGATCGGGATCTGGACGCCGATCGGCAGTGTTGAGTCGTGGTCTAGGCGACGATTGTAAACCAGCCCAGTAGACTTGTTGACACTATGGGTCGGGACGCAACATCGCTCGCCACTAGAAATACTTGTAAAGTAAGGGGACAAGGTGTTCAGATTGAGAGACTGAGGAAGAAAGAAGAGAGGATGATTGATCGACCGTCCAAAAAGAAAAAAGCGAGAAAAGGACCCGAAGATGAAACAACGGACCGACAAGAAGCTGTCCGGAAAAAGACAGCAAAGACCGTCAACCCTTGCTGCGCGTTTGGACGAATGGAGCGAGTGAAAGTGGAGAGAAGAGAAGAAGGGAAATGACGGGGCGAGGAAAAGGATTGGAGGAACCACGGCTGAATGCGGAAATGCCCCATTTACCTGTCGCAACCATGGATACAGTTGCACAGTATCTTTTTCATCCTACCATTCGATCTTCTGGACAGTGTAGCAGTCTTGTCTATTCTTCTATATCTATCAAAGTGGGTTCTGCGCCAAGCCGACTAAGGCAGCCACCGCATCACACCCTCAAATGCAACCAACGCCATCGCATTCGCCGGGAATGCCCTCAAAAAGCATGGCACAAATCCTCTCCAGTACCCTTTCAATCCGCGCTCTTTATATACAGCGGTCGCCGCATCTTTCCACCCCCGGAACTGTCGTTGTCCGTCGTTCAACCCCCCACCCATCGGGTCCGTCATCAGGCGCTGTTTCACCACGTCCGACGGGTATGAGGTGATCCAGAAGATCTGGGCCGAGACGCCCCCCGCCCAGAAGTTGATGGCCGGTGCCGACATGTTGGTGCGCTCGCGCATCATCCGAGTCAGCACGTCGTACGAACCCCACCAGAAGAAGAAGAAGGAGCGGAATAAGATGGTCGCAAAGAGTCCGCGATACAATCCGGATATTCCATGCGTGCCGAGCTACATAGTCAGCTCTATTTGTCTTTCCTTTGATGGACAAGGAATGACTTACCAGCTTCTTGGTACAGTCAATCGGTCCACTATACAACCGCCCTGCCTTATCCGCCGCATACTGGATCTGCAATCTCGCCTTGACATGCTCCACGGGAGCCGCGATGAAGCTGACCGTCGTCCCAGCCATGATGCCCGCGATGCCGTGTCCGAAACTAGGCAGTGTGCTAGGGTCCTTCTGGTATGCGGCGAACGGGGTGATGCGGCGGATTTCCGGTCTCGAAAAGACATTCTCCAAGAGTAGTCGACGGTACAGCGTGAGAGAGCCAAGCATACTATGTCGAGCGTAAGTCAGTCGTCAACCCTCCCCAATGAGGAAAGAAAGAAATGTGAATGCACGTACACCGAGTCCATCACCATCCATCCGACCAGCGGCGGCGTAGCACCCTTGTAAAATCCCGCGACTCCTTCCTTGCGCACCGTCTGCAGCACGCAGTCTACCGGGCCTCGGAAATGGCCATCTTTGCTTGTTTGCAGGCGTACCTTGACCGTGTCGAACCTGTTGTGCGTTAGATGGACCCGTGGAAGAAAAGAATTAATAAAGAACATACGGATGCCCAACTAAACCACCACAAATCAATATTAGCCAACCACACAAAGCAAAACAACACTCCAAATACAACACAGGAGATGAACACGCAGTGCGGAGGAGACTGACCAGACAACTTCGCAATCCCAGAGAACACCCCCGCCACGAACCCCTTGTAGTTCTTCTTCGACTCCGACGTGGGCGGCGGCGGCGGCGCAGAGCCCTTCCTCTCTGTCGTATCCACCACCTTGGACGGCTCCATTGAAGCGACTCCTTCAATGCGCGACGGGGAATGAGGCGACGAAGACATGGATGGGTATCTGCAATTATAGCACAATTAGTACCTTCCTTATTTCCCACACACACACACAGACGGTCTCCTTTCTCACCTGAATCTTAAATAAAAAAAGCAAAGTATAAACCAACAACCAACGCTAAATCCAAGCAAATACAACAACCAAGGTATCTGCTCCGCAATCGCAGTGCGCGCTCGTCGAGGAAACTAACTCGAGAGCGGTGTATAGATCTTAGAACGGTCGGTCGGTCGCGAAACTCATGAGAGCAATTTCAACGCGTAAAAAGAGATAAACAATACAGCAGACAAACCCCCATAAGTATATTAAGTAGGAGAGGAGAACATGAGGGGAAGAAAGTCGGAGAGAAATCTTGAGTGTTGATCTCGCGCCCCGCAAGCCCGAGGGCGGTCGGGGAGACCTGCGGGAACTCCGGGGGGACGTTTTAGTCAGCTGTTGTACACCGTAGTTTATACTTCTTGCTTTCTCTTATAAGGCGTATGGATTTGAATCTTTTGTTTATATGAGAGATACATTGTGTATAGCTATGTTATGAAATAAAGTATGGATTGTGACCATCTTGGCAAGTCACTATATCATGCTTATGCAGTGGAAGAGCAGTCTGGTTCTGTTCCCCTTGAATTCTAGATCACAACAATGGCAATAAACCCCCCATCCATTAAAAAAAAGATAAAACAATCACGAAGGATAGAGAAGAGCAGAGAAGGTGGAGAGGTCGTAGCGTATTCAGGCGTGCTGGGGTATAAATAGAAATGGAAGCAATCATAATACATCGACATATTTTAGAGACCGTGGAAGTCGAAGACGACGCGGCTTGGGATAAGGAGAACAAGACGGAAATGACAAAGGCAATCACCGGCCCTTGGGGGTCTTGCGCGCCTTCTGGCGAGTCCGCTCGGTCTCATGGGCGCGACGCCGCTCGAGAACATCCGACCCGGCTGACTGGTTGCCCGGATCAGCGCTGGCAACACCGGAGGGAAAGTAGCCTCCAGCGTCCTCCAGGACCAGTGGGGTCACGGGCCCCGGGCTGCAGAGGGGGTCCAGGCGCGGCGCCGACGGACTGGGGGAGAGCGGCCGGGAGGGCGGCCGATAGGACGAGATGCCCTCCATCATCTCTCGGTACTGGCGCACGGGATCTCGAGATCCGGCCGAGGGGGTCCGGTAGGTATAGTGACGAGTCTGACTCGCCGAGGAAAGCGGCGTGGATAGACCCTGCGAGCCGCTTGAGGGCGGGTAGGCCGTAGGGTGGAACCGGGGGAGACTGTCCAGCGGGAAGGAGGGGACGGACTTGGAGGTCGATGAACCTCGGGGATGAGCCGGCTGGGGAGAAGAGGAGCGCCCGGAGGGGGTCATGGTGGGTGACACAATCGGAGAGTAGAAGGACGAGTTGTCGGCACGCATTCTGGACGTGTGACCACGGCGGACGCGGTGACTAGATTGATCGCTGCGTCGGCGAGGGTGGGAATCGCCGTTCCGGTCGGAGGACGGACGACGGTGGGCAAAGTAGTACCCTTTGTCAAAACGCCCGGTCAGCGGAGTGACGGGGAGATCGTCTTGGTGGGCGTGGGATGGTTTAGGAATAGGAATCGGTCGGGAGACAGGACTGGCGAGGGTGAGGGAGTCCAAGGAGTCAGTCGCTTCGGCCAGAGGAGAATCCGAACGGTGCGACGGTGGGGGGTTAAATGTGGAGGAGGTTGCCGTCAAGTCTTCCAAGGAAGACAGCGAAACGCGGGTGGGGCTGCCGTGTCTGGCGATTAACGTCTCTAGTTGGTCCCTCGCGTGGGTATCCGATGACCGATACGATGGGGACCACGATGAGGGGAGAAAGTTGGCTAAGAGCACGCGATCAGCAAGATTCTCGGACCGGGAATGTCGTGACTAGCGAGGCATGCGAGACGTGTCAGGTGGGGGGGAGGACAGTGCAGGAATGGTGCCAGCGAACGAGATTGAAACAAATCATCGATGGGCAGCAGAGAGTCGATGAGAGGTCAGAGGCCAATCAGAGGGATGACCACTTGAGGCTTGACGCTTGAAGGAGAAGGTGAAGGAGTTGGGAAGAATGAGGGGAAGCGGTAGTTGCGGATATATGATTGGATCGAGAAGGGGATATTTTAAGAAGAGCCAGTTAAAGGAAGAATTGAATAAACTTACTGCTGAGGAGTGGTGGAGAATGAATAGAACTGTAAGAGGAGGGATAGAGTGAGGGCGAGGAGGAAGTGGAGGAGGCAGAGGAGGAGTCTCGTGGAGATGTGGATGTGGCCACGGACGAGGTTTTTATCCCTCGTCCCTTAACTCTTCCTTCTTTTTTTCCCTTCATTTTTTCCTTTCTTGTTTCTTAATCTTATTATTTTTTCTGCTTTGCCCCCCGGGTGGAGATGCGCCCCGTACAGTCAGGAACGAACGGCCCTGAGCGGATGCCTGAGCGGATGGCGTCGGTCCCTGTCAGCCTTGGTTGCAAAATGGATCACGACCAATCAGGGAAAATGACGCAGCAGGGATTGGAGATGTCTTTGGCCTCGTTTTGTTTTGGTTGCAAGAAACTGATCAATCGTAATCAAACAACAAACAGGCAGTACAATCAAAAAAATGAAATATGATACAATATTAAACAGAGAAGCAGCTCAATCCTGCTTTGCGCATTAGCGTTGCGGGGTAAAAATAACAAAATCTGTATAAGGGAAAAGGAAAGAAAAGTTTAAAAGGTCAAAACAAGTGAATACATGGCGTCATAGGCGGGAGACGCAGGTAAGAGTGGGGAAAGACAGTTACAGACGGTATGGAAACAAGGACAGAACAATAGAGATCATCTGGGATCACCATTGCAGTTCAATACATATTGTTATCCAAAGAGGAAGGAGAACAGTGATATATATAGGAAACGGAAAAAGCAAGTAAAAAATAACAATATATATAAATAAAAGAAGGAGGAGGAAAGAAAGAGATGGTTGACTCACAATGCAATCACAATCTCATTCAGCCGATGGCTCTTCTCGGCACCGACGGACACTAACTCTTAGTATGGAGCAAGGACTAGGCCTTTAGGCTCCACTCAACAATGACGCACTTTGTCGGCTGGACGCGAACAAAGAACAATCTACTCTCGTAATGAAGAATGGTCGATGGTTGGATGACTGCATCCACCTCACGGGCACGCCCGTCACGATCGACTCGACGCTGGGATCGGTTGGACGGTACGGGTAGAGGATGCAAATATATGCATGCAAGAGCAAAAACCAGGTAATGATCGGAGGGGCAGGAAAGAGTCTGTGCAACTTGACCCATCGACCAAGCCGGGAGGAATTGGTGCACTCTTTAAATAAGATCGAGGTTGAGAGAACTGCACCCACACGAGGGAATCGGCTGACCTTGTCTGCAGAAGACCTTTCGACTCATCCACAAAAGATCCAAAACTAGAGACAGGAAGGAAATGGTTCGAATAAATGGATGACCGGGGAGGGAGTGATAGTGACGACTCCTGTGGACTCGATTGGGCGCAGTCAAGAGGCATCAATCATCCCCATCATGAATCACAGTAGCACTGCCACTAGTCTGCAACTCTCCCATGCAAGACATTTTTTCTATTTCTTTTTGGGTGAGCCGATCGTCTGACTCGCCCACCTTCCCCACCATCATCTGTCTCACTGGCCAATGTGGCCTTTGGGGATGCTTTTTCCCCCAGTACAGGGCTGCCTAGTTCGCCCAATCGTCAGCATGGGATATTTACATCCACTGTCTACCATGACACTGCAGTTAGCCAGGATGTCCAGGCATCCATGGGTGAAAATAGAATCATTAGACGCGTGTCAAGGAGACTTTTCAAGAAGGGGGGAGAATGATTAAGAAAAAAACATGACAAAAAAAATAACAACCACGGAGTAGTATACTTCTAATGATAGATTTGTCGGGACAGACTGCGATCCAGCTACTATGCTCTATCCATCAAATCATTCAGACGGACCATGTAGAGCATATGCTTGATGACGGAGCCAAAGCACATCACTCACATCGTTCACATCACCCCCCATGCTGCCAAAGATCTAGCAGATATGCCGACGCTAAAGGACAGTTTCGTCAGACGCAACGTCGACCCCAAGCCATTCATGGTGATCAAAACGTTGATCGGTCAGGCGTCACAGCACAGCCCACCAATCGACGTTCACAGACCCCCTGCCACGATCAAAACTCAAGAAGGGTGGGTAGCCAAAACAGTCGACGCCATCCATTGTGGTGTGGATGGGTGGATATAGTTAGACTGGGTGCTTCATGTATTGCCTGTTTCGGCGCCCTCATCGTTATTGTCGACAGTGTGGTCGCTTCTCGGAATTCGCCACCGGGCGACTATCTTCCATACCTACGGATTCTTTTCTATCCCATGGACCATTCCTATCCTCCAACGTCAACATGCGCCCGTGCGACAAGGCCGGATCCAACACGAGTCGCATCCCTTGGCGCGGCTCCAGCGCTCAACTTCCAGCTCAGCTGCGGAGCGGTGCACAGTTGTGGCTGTTCGTAAAATTCATTTCAAGAGTAAAGTAAGCTAACCCCCATGACGACTTACTCCTGTGGCGGCGCAGGTAGTCTCCGCGTCTATCCATCCGGAACCTGGTCATGGTCCAAGCTTTACGATCGCACGGCATTAACTACGCCCCAGACCGGTGGGATCACCTGCAGTGTGATGACGGGATGGATGTCAGGTCCGGGTGTATGCATGCGCCAAAAGTATCTGGTCTGAGCTACGGCGTTGTTTCGCTTTCTGCGAAAGGGTGAAATAAGTTCCTATGTGGGAGGGATGTTTGTCTCGGGAATTTACGTGGATGGACAGCATGGAAAGATTAATCCCGCAATCAGAGTGATCAGGGGATACAGTCTGTCTGATAGGAATGTTCTCTGGTGAGTCTAGACCTACGCAGAAGCAATCTCATCACACACACTAGGTTTCAAGATTCAGAGTCAACACTCCAGACTCTCATCAGTCCACTACCGATGTCCCTACTGATGTCCCACCACATGTTTCGGCTCATACAGATCATCAATGCTCCTGATCTCACCCTCCCCAAGCTCAAACTCAATCGCCTGGACAGCCTCATCCACCCTCTTCTCCTTACTCATCCCCACAATCGGCGACGTAATGAACGGCTTCGACAAAGCCCAAGCAAGCGCAACAACAGCCATCGACACGCCCCGCTCCTTCGCAATATCCTCAACCCGCTCATTAATCCTCCGATCCGCCTCCGTAATAGGTCTGCCCATCAACTTATCATCCTGCCCCTCCCCTCGCGTCGTCCCCCCATACTCCCCCCACGGCCTGGTCAAAAACCCCTGCGCCACAGGACTCCACGGGATGCCGCCCATGCCGAACTGCGCACAAGCCGGAAACATCTCCCTCTCCTCCTCGCGATACATCGCATTATGCAAATTCTGCATACTCACAAACTCAGTCCACCCGTGCAGTCGCGCCGTATACTGATACTCCAGCAGCTGATGCGCCCACATCGAGCTCGCCCCAATATACCGCACTTTACCCGACTTGACCACATCATGCAGCGCCTCCATCGTCTCCCGCGGCGACGTATGCGGGTCAAACCGGTGTATCTGCAGCAGATCCACATACGGCAGATCAAGACGCTTCAGGCTCGCATCCACGCTATCGAAGATATGCTTCCTGCTCAACCCGTACTGATTGACATACCCCGCATTGTCACGGTCATCCTGCGCCATCCGGAGCGGCTTCTCAAAACCCCGTCCTACCGGAGCCCACACTTTGGTCGCGACGACGATGGCCTCCCGGTCCCAGTTGAATTTCTTGATAGCCTTGCCGAGGATGATCTCCGAGTCGCCGTTGGAGTACGCGTTGGCTGTGTCATAAAAGTTGAGACCGGACTTGTAGCAGTGGTCTAGGATGGGGAGTGCGTCGGCTTCGCCGATTGCCCAGTCGAATTGCTTGCCGGGGGTGCCGTAGCTCATGCAGCCGACGCAGATCGGGGACACGCGGAGGCCGCTTTTGCCGAGTTGGACGTACTTCATGATTTGTAATGTAGTATTTGCAGTATATATGGGAGGTTTTGAAGGTGGAATATTTTAGTTGTGGACTGATGGTTGTGGACTGATGTGTGCGGGGATGATGACGCTATATATGTAAATGTCGTCTCGGACTTAGTAACGTTGCACGCTTATGTCCGTGTCATCATCTCTGTTTGTCATCCAATGATTCATCATCCACTGATTTGACTAATGTCTGCATTGCGATCGAGATATAGGTGTTACTGTATGTAGTACGAATGGGAGGGGCGGCGACCGGTTTTCTTTGAGAACAAAACTGGGGTGCGGTTCTGTTGGTCTGCCACTGGAGATAGACCTTATCTATTGCTTCGAGACCCTCAATAAACTCAACCCGAGACCCCCGTTTCTAAAATACAGGTACAGAGTTTGCAACATCTCCTTCTCTCCAGCTCAACGACAGAATATTAGTTGTCAAACACAAAGGTAATCTAATGCCCATTCTCAACCAACTCAACAAACAGCCTCGAAAGCAACAACCGCTTCTTCCCCTCCGACGAACAACCCACCGTCAACCGACAACAACACTCCTCAGCAGTTCGAAGGTACTGTTCGCGGAAAACACTCCATAACCCTGGATCATCTCTGCCCGGACGAGGATAAAACGGATCGTTGCGCAGAAAAGCCGTCGCCGCTTGCTCCATGCCTGCTGCGTTGATAGGGAGACTCCTGCACAGGTCGAAATCTAAAATCCACATGGTGTGGCTACCAAACACATTGAAGATTACATTGGAGGGGTTTTGTGTGCTTTGAGTGGAAGTAGTAGGAGGAGGAGGAGCAAGCACAAACTCGACATCGTTCGCGTCGATCTCGCCCACCCAATGCAAAGTAGCCAGGGCGTTTGCCATCATTCGCGCATAGAGCCGGATATCCCTAGCCGGGATTCCCAACTCTTCCATCTGATCCTCATGAAGGGGATAATTTCGCAGCGAGAAGAACGGTCTCACCCGACGTCGTGGAGCAGAACCAAGGGGCGTTGAGCCATGCTGGCGGATCCGTCTCCGTCCAAGGTACGGTCTGATGAGACAGTCCTCATTAGCCTTGCTGTTCAAAATTTCCTCTCCAAGATCTACCGGACAGAATCTGCTGACAAGCAACTCCCTAGTATGCAGCGGGAATGGCGGAATGCGCTGCGACTGGAGCGTATTGCAGGGGGCGTATCCAGGCGGGAAGCGGTGGAGGTGGTCTCTCCACCATTCTTGATCTGCCTCAGTATCGGGTCTGATAAAGCGATGACAGTCTGGGACTTGAACTCGGAGATGGCTGTTTTTGATGGTTGTCTGGTTCAGGCTGTGCTGGACGATCTGGTGCATCTGGTAGTCGTTCTCTAGTGATCTGCTAGGGCCGCCGTCTTCGCGCTTGAATGCGGGCCCTGTGGTGCCAGATGCCCAGACGGTGCCACAGAAGCCTTGGCCAATTTTTTGGTATTGGGCCATAGACGTCGCGGTGTTGTGGTCGTTGGTCATGATGTTTGGAAGTGAGTGTTGTTATGGTGAGGTGAGAGGAATTCGCGGGTGAGGAATGAGTGAAGGATTGGGCTTTTTTTGCTCATGATGGTGTGTAGCTCTGATTCGAGATTGAAACTTTCAGTATATAATTCTGAGGGGTCTAGAACTATGTAGAGCTTTCTAATATTTGAGCTAGTTAATTAAGGGTTCACTTTGACTTTCCTGATATGGTTACTGATAGTGGTCTGTCCCTACATAGTGTCTTGTATTGAGCCACATACACCAATGACTGTAGGTAACTGTATACTTGAGAGTTCTGACAGTACTTTATAATGATGAGAATATACACATACTACTCATCTCTACCCCTGTGACTAATCTACATAACTTAACTACTGATTTGCTCTCCTGAAGTAGTACAGTCACCACTGTAAATGAGCATATCACACATCTCCCCACTTAGCCTTCAAGTTAAGCACAGATTCCACTTGATGGCCTTGAATACTTGGAGCCGATTCCGATCAGTCGTATATACCGTCGTCTACAGACCGTTTGCGTATGTTTTGTCGCCTATTCCACATTGCTTGATTGTCCTTCTTCTTTGCTGGGCTGTATTGACATCATTAGCAGTTCATCGTTACCTACAACTTATCTCTCGAAGAGTTTGTTAGATACCATCTATGCTTTATCTCAGCTTGGATATCGGGAAGTCGGGGGGTCATGTGTCCATCACTCTCATAGAGAGTAGACTGTATTCATGTCAATCTATTTTAGGATACCTGGTACTCTGTGGCACCCAAGTCCAGTTCTAGACTTGACAGCCAGCCTGATCCAACTCGAGACCTCACAAAGTTCAAAATGGAATGGTCGAAAAGATGACTCACTGTTCTATGACATCTCTAGATCTCACCCTACCAAACAACCACCACACACACCCATCCATGGTAATGGTGTGTCCTGCGGTGAAATACCGGCGTCTATAACCCCTCCTGGGCGAGGCTGTCAGTCAAACTATGGCTGCTGTGTAAGCCAACAACCAACACCGAGTGTGGGTGATATTTAGTAAGTAGGGTAGTATCTACCCACACTCAACCTTACAGACAACATCATTGTCTCGCCTCAGCCCCCGAGAGACCCAAATGGAGGAAAATACCAAATACCCCTGTCGTGCCTGCGGAAGACCTAAGATGGAAGTGATATAGTAAGTGGTCTGGCCGCAGGTCCCTCTGTGCCGCACTACCCTCCTTCACAAACGATGTGGCTGAGCCAGGGTATGGTCCTATTCTTGGACTTCGGGGTTTCGGGGTCTACTCTAGCAGGGATTGTCTGCAGTGTGGCTCAGTTCATGGTTTGAACCATACCCTACGCTGTTAGACCTGTATGGACCTAATACGACTACTACTCCAGGCTTCAGCCACCGGGTCGTGAAGAATAGACGTCACACACCTACCTACTACTGGTGAAGAAAGGTAGTAGTCAAGTGGAGGAAGTTGTAGAGAGTGAGGAAGAATAAAAATAGATGGACACTATGATTTGACTACCGGTAGTGCTGTCTTTCGTTTCCTGTCTTTTCTTTGCTGTCAAGGTCGGAGGTTATATACGTAGTCCAGATGGGCGTTTTCTTTTCATCTTTGGTACGCTTATGTTCTGCCCACAAGGCTTGTACACTGATGTTTAATGAATATCAAGTGTATTGAAAAATATAGTATATACTAGATACGAATTTAAATATAAAGTATATACAGTAAGGCCTCATTAACTATCTAGACCAGATCGTACAAGCAGCCCGAAAGAAACATTCACTCCAGTTAGCCCCCATTCCAAATGCCTGGCCCCTGGCCAACCTCGAAGCCCAAAATAAGCTTGTACTCTAGAACATCCTCTGCTAGTACCTTCTTCACTCGTCATCAACGACACTAACCGATGACATTGATTCCTCGACTTCAAAGTGCAACCAACCGATCGCGAAAATCCACTTATAAGGCCGATCCAGAAAATGGCGTGGACTGAGGCGCGTCGACGCGTCTGCATTTTGCACTTTATGTGGATCATTATATATTGGGGATATCAGTCATATTCTGCCTGAGCCAAATACCGTTCTGGTTTGTGGTACAATTAGTTCAGACTATGCAAGAACAAGTCTATGACTCAGATTATTCTACTATATACACATTAATCATAACCCCAACATCTAAGCAACAGCCGAAAAGCCATTATCAACAGGCACGCAATTCCCGTTCATCAGCCTGGCTCCAGGCCCACACGTCAACGTAAACACCACCTCGGCGACCTCTCCCAGCGGACACATAGGGATCCGCATCGCCTGCATGAGCTGCTCAATGCGTTCCATGCCTTCGCGATTGATTCCGGCCATGAAAGCCTCAGTGATGTTGGTGTCCATACCGCCCATCATGAGCGCATTGCACCGGATGCCCTTGTTGCCGTACGCGACGGCCGTGTTCTTCGTGAGACCGACAAGGCCGTGTTTGCTGGCCGTGTATGCGGCGCCTGGACAGTATTAGCACTGTACCGAATATCTAACTAGAGAGATAATGGAAATGGGGAAGGGGAATAGCTTATCATACCTGCAACGCCACCACCCCGTCCCGCCAACGAAACAATATTAACAATGTTGCCCTCGACCTTCTCCTGCGCGAGCATGTTCTGCACCGCCAGCTTGCTCAGTAAGAACGGCGCCGTCAGGTTCACGGCGATGACCTTGTCCCAGAGGCTCGCGTCGAGGTCGCCGACAGGGTCAAACCGGTCCATGATGCCGGCATTGTTGACGAGGATGTCGACCTTGCCGAACGTGGCGACGATTTCGTCGAAGAGGGTCTGCACAGCAGCTGCGGACGTGATATCCGCCTTGATCGCCTTGACCTTGCCCGCGCTGCTGGTGCCCGACAACTCTGTCTCTGTCTCCTGCAGTCTGGCCTCGTTGATGTCGCAGATGACGATGTTGGCGTTGGCAGCGAGGAAGCGCGTGGCGATGGCTTTGCCGAGGCCGCCGGCACCGCCGGTTACGAGACAGGTCTTTCCAGTGATATCAGTCATTTTGTATTTTATAAATTTATAATTCTTCTTTTTTTCGAGCTGGGTGTTGCAAACGACAGTGTTGGAGAGTAAAGGGGCCCAAAATGCGACAGCCCCTGGGCTTTTATATCAGCACATTCCGCCCCAGTCCAGACCGGTGGGATCAATCCATCTAGTACCGTACGACCTCCCATCTTAGCCACCTTTCTCTGCTAAAAGTCCTGGCTTAATCTAGGCGTCTGTCAAAGTGGTTCGCGGTGAACCTATCAGGGCCGGCAAGATGGGGCCGCGTGTTGCGTATTCCTCTCGTATTGCGTATAAGCGGGTCCCTTGCTGATGCCTGAGGCAGAAGGTCGTGTTCGGCCAGGACTCAGCAGATGGATTGGGACCGATGCCCGTGTTGATTCCATATAGCGATGTCTCAGTTTATATCAGAGGTGAGGTGCAACATTACTTGGACTGTGAGCGGAAATCCCGAGTTCGCATATTGTGTCGTCGCAACTGGTGAATACTGCACTGGAATGGATCGCATATTTGCTGGCGCTTTTTCGAACAAGAAGTTGATCTTGTGAAGATCTGGGACGTCCAGAATAAAATTCTGTATTAGCGAGGAAATCGCAACAGTTACACGTCGGAATGACAGTGCAGCGGTGTCACGGTATAGATCGATGCAAGGGGTCGAGTTCTCCCATCGCCCATTTTGATCATGTCGGTGGCGATAGGATACTACAGACCATTTGAAGCGAGGGTAGACTGCATGATTAATAACAGTTTCAACAGGATTATCCCTCTGTGTCAGTCGGTTCAAGAGCCTGGGAATATCCTTCGCCAGGTGTCGATCCCATCTCCATCGCTGCAGCTGAGATAAGACCTGGTTCTTTTATTGTCACACCCATCGCTTATCTTAACACTGACCGCAGCCTGACTGCATCAAACGTCTCTATATGAGCAGTGGTAATTGGGATGTTACTGATGCTGCGATACGTCAGTGGGGGTAGATTGAACAATATCAAGCTCAGATGGACTTGGGTCACCACGGTAGATCCCCACCGCGCACGCCCTCCTAATGACAGCGGGGGAGGAAAGTGCCCCACAACGCATCCGAACAAATGAGAACGATATCGGAGCGGAACATGATAAAAGAAATTAACGACAGTAGAGAAACAGAGCGAGAAGAGAAGACACGGTTCTCTTCCAAAGAGATCAGTTATAGTCAACTTCACCTAAACCTCGCATTCCACACCATTTGGCACCCACGCACTCAGTGCCCTACACAACCAATATGGACTCCAAACAACCAACCTTTACCCTCCGCACCCACACCCCATCCGACATCCCCTGGATAACAGCCCGCCACGGCGCCCTCTACGCCGAAGAACGAAACTGGGGCCAGGGATTCTCCACCCTCGTCGACCAGATCGCCACCGATTTTCAAACCCACCACGACCCAGCCACCGAGCGCTGCTGGATCGCCGAAGACGACGACAGCAGCGACGAACATGAAAGCCGCAACCTGGGCTGCATCATGCTGGTCCGCGAACCGGACCAGCCTTCCTCTGCGAAGCTGAGATTGCTGCTGGTGGAGCCCCGCGCGCGGGGGAGAGGCGTGGGGAAGGCGCTTGTCCGCGCGTGCGTAGACTTTGCCCGGGAGATGGGGTATGCGAGGGTAGTGCTCTGGACGCAGAGAGTCCTTGAGTCGGCGAGGAAGCTGTATGCGGCGGAGGGGTTCTCCCTGGTGCGCGAGGAGGAGCATGAGGGGTTTGGAGAGAAGGTTTTGGGGGAGGAGTGGGTGCTTGTTTTGTAACTTTATTGGGTTTCTTCTTCTTTTCCCATTTTCTTGCAAAGCGTAGTGCTTCTTCGAGTGTCAATGTTATAGAACATGCTGATCTTTCTCTGGCTCTGCGCTTGACCGATTGCAGTCTTCATTCTTCCACAATATTCAATTGAATTACGGATGGCGTACCTTCCCATTCTCGTGACTGTCACGACGCATATCTGGAAGGAGCACCTCATCATTGACTAGACATATTATATATCCGAATATCAACTGATCGTATTGATATCACCGATCTATACCACGAATTTTCACTGTCGCTTGAAGGTCTACACGCCATTATTAGTCCGGACTATTTTACTATCTACTATATACTATCAGCATAGACCATACATTAGCAGGATTTCACAGGGAGAGTTAGGATCCACTTTGAAAATAATCGCATCGTGATTATCCGCGTACTTCAACTGTCTCCAACCACATTACGTCCGTCCATCCACTTAAGAAAGCCAATGGACACCCGTGACGTTGGATATCCCTGGCGAACGCGGAACGTGTTCATCAGGTTCAGTGACAACTTTCTCGCTTTCCGCGGCGGGCTCTATGCGTCGGACCACCTCACCAATGCCGAGCTATCCAAGATGATTCGCATTGTGTTCCGCGCAGAGGGGGCCTTCTCTATCCATTCAGAGTCGACCGATATCGAGCTTCCAAATGATCAACAACCAGCTCAGCAGGATATCTACGTTCTGACGCCGCTGAGGGCCGGAGCGAGCGTCCACACCACGGGTCAACTAATCCTAGATCGAAAACTAGACAGCAGACCTAGCAACCAGGACTTCATCCAGCGCGTCAAAGACCGCGACCACGGCCACTGCACCATTTTGGGAATGCTCCAACCAAACCAACGGGGGAAATGGCCTACCACAAAGATGGCGTACATATTTCCCAGTGGTCAAGGCGACGTGTTCTCCTTGCTGCCATTTCCCACCCCCCCAGAAGGAGTCCATTGTGCGCAGAATATCATCACCCTCGAAGAACCTGTCTACGATGCCTGGGAGGCTCGTCAGATTGCGGTCGACCCGGATAATGAATACCGCATCATCAGCTTTCATCCCACCACGACACGTTGTCATGGATTTGCATTGCATCCCGTGTGTCGAGATCCTGGAAATCCGTGGAGAGTCGACGATGACCTGCTCCGCTGGCACTTTCACCAGACAGTCATTTACAATTTGCGCGGTGATGGTAGAGATTTCCTTCGACACCCAGCCCCCTCGGATATAACAGCGACAAACCCATTAATGTTGCCATATGGCCGACGAGTGGATCAAGTTTGTGGACATTCGTCTTGGCACGGTGGGCCAAATAATAAACCTCCGGAGCCGGGGATTATGGACTCGAAACCGACCAAAGAGCCTAAACGGCCTATGGACATGGACGGGGGGTCGATTATGGAACCTGAGGAGAGATCGAATCAATCCAAGCCGGCGACCATACAACTCAGAGAACCGACGAAGGAACCCGACAAGAGGTTGAATCAATTCCGGCCGGCAAGTATACAACACAAAGGCCCGACGAGGGAGCCTGAAACGAGGTCAAATCAATGCAAGCCGGCGAGTATACAACACAAAGACCCGACGGATATCCCAGATGCCAATCCAATCGCGGATACCGGAAATCATGCCAATGAAGGCAAGAAAGTCCGAAAGAAAACACAGTGGCATGCCTGGGATTGGAAGCGACCAACAAGTAGGAGATGAGGCCATGCCAATCTACAAATCTCAATAGAAATCCTTGGGAATGAAAACATCACTTCTAGGGCGTGACGAAGTGGATCTGGGGCGCTAATGGATTCTGTTCGCTTCCAGTTGTGTATGGTTAGATGTCATCTTTACTCTTCAGGTGTCTTTACCATATGTATAATGAGGTTAAACGCAATGAAAGTTCTCGAGCATACATACGAAGATATCTCTAAAGCCACCCCCACCCCCCAATCAGCACGACCCAGTACACGCAGCAGCAATCATCCCAAAAACTCTCTCAACATTATATCCCGTTTTCGCGCTCACCTCGAGGAACTGATATCCCCGCTCCTCAGCAGCCTTACTCCCGTCCTCAAAAGAAACCTCCCGCAGGTTCTCCGAATCCGCCTTACACCCTACCAGGATCACAGGCACGGACAGACCAGTCTCTTGCGCATGACTCTCCACCCGCCAGAGCGCCACATGCATTGACTCGCGCCAGGTGACGTCGTAGATGACAACGAGAACATTCGCGTCGCGCGTAAACGAGGGTACGAGCTGCCAGTAGCGGTGCTGGCCGCATGTGTCCCAGATCAGAGTGTTGATCGCTGGCTTTTGGATCTTCTTCCATTCGCCTTCTTCGTTGACGACGATGTATGGAATTTTCTGCGTCACGCTCTTGTTAGTTTCGCGTGCGTGGGATTAAGGGATCTGGAAGGTCCACGTACTGCAAAGACATAGTCGACAGACGTTGTGGGGGCTGTATCCTCGTTGAATGGGTGACGTTGGAAGCGCCTTTGAAGGGAAGTTTTGCCGACTGTTTGGTGGAATTAGCTTTGGTAGTCTCATACTAGAGAGATTATTTTTAGGGGGAAACAGTAGTGGCAGTGCTACTGTTGAAGACGGCGTACCTCGATCCCCACCTATGAGGAGCACCCTACTCGTCAGATTGATTAGTAGGCAGTCATTTTTTTCATATTATGTATGTATGTATGTAACGTACTTATAGAGCTCGTCATAACTGGGTGGTGGGGGGTTGTCTTGGGATGGAGTTGCGCCCATGATGACGTGTTTTTGTCTTTAGTTGTAGGGCCAAATCAAATTGGTTCCTAGTTATGGTTACTGCCATACTACCTACCTGTACCTACTGGTACTTTATAGTACGAGGAGAAGGTGTCATTGGACGAGATAATGAAGTCGTGAAGACAAAGAGTTAAGGATCACCTGACTAGGACTGTACAGTCATTCTAGTGTTTCCATTGTCGTGTCTCCTGAACGGAACCATATCCTTGACACCCTTTCTAGTCAAGGACATACTGAGGTCATTGAACGTTTCGTCCCGTTCTTGTGATATTGAAGGAATGTTTGGGGCCAGGATAATAATAGAGCATGGCTGATCTGAGTAAGATTTTACGTTATTCGTCATCAATGTCGTGGCTGTCAACCGATATCAGATGCAGATACTTGGAAATGCTAAATCTTCTGCTCACCAGTATACATCTTATGCTTGTGCCCTACATAATCGGCTCGGACATTCCGACCAGACCCAATCATCCAATGGACAAGGATCAGATATTGACACTCTCAATGAGAGTACTAAAACACGACATAGGCATCCATGTTTAGTATCCTCCTAGTTACACGCGTTCAACATGTTCATTGTCCTGGACTGACTGTGGAGTCGGAATCCTGCCGAATCTGGCCCGTGGAAGGATTTCAATGGCATCGATCAGCCGGGATGCCTTGTCCACACTCGAAGCGAGTGATTGGACGTCGCTGATGTGCCCACTTCCTTTGTATAGCTCGTGTGTTCCCTATTGGTGGTTTGATGCACTGGCCCTGTCTGGATTTCAATGAGCTTATGTCAACGCCCAAGACTTTATTAAAGAACACCGCCCCCAATGACCCTGCTTTCATGCGACTAGGTCATAAGGTGTATCCAAAAAAAGATACTGGACTGGATCGACAGATTACTTCGACTCATGAATGGCCCGTTCGTGCGTCTATTTCCATGGAGGAAATGCACCGCTAATCATACAAGGGGACTTTCCGATTTAGGGCTAGTCCTTGAAAGTCGACAGAGTACCGAGTACTCCGTACTATCTGCTCGGGGAGATCGGCGGCATTAAGACCTAGTTCGGTAATAACTATGTATATGGTCGATTACGTGGAGCCCACTTGGCTGTGGGGATCTGCAGTGTAATCTTGCTTTCGAGTCAGCGAGCATTTTGAATTCCTGGGCAGTTTCAAATGTCGCCTTTTCACTTGCTACATACTATCATTAGCGGTATATGTGATCTATCTGATACGAAAAGATCCTGGGGACAGATGAAGTCCCCTCGCGCCTCGGATTCTAGACAATATCAAAGTTTTCGAGACGAGAGGGAAATTTCCATGGGTCGGACGAACCGGACTTCCATCGGATGAGACTGAAATGGCCAGGAACGGCCCAATCGCGCATGGCCTTGTAGTCATCGTTCCATGGTTGGTTCACTCGATATAGAAACATGGCAGTGTAATCACTAAATATTGTGGCGTAGATTGCAGACATTCAGGAACGATTGACAACGTGCTAGTGACAGAGACCCATCTATCACGCCAATCAGAGAATGTCCCCATGGAGGCCCGTCCTGTCCAACTCCATTGCAGTGTTGTATTCGTCCCCTTGCCGCCAATCACCGCCGCCAATCACCAATGAGCCCATATGTGCAGGGCCACTCTCATAGGCTTGGTCGTCAATGTAGCGGCGGGCCGATGCTTTTAACCCCGAGTCTCCACCGCGACAGTGGGCCACGGCTTCGCCTTACTGATCACTGTTCTCCACAGTCACAGGCACAATGACCCTGGTCCTGGCCTGATGCCTGGTCCTTGGCCTTATGAAAGATGCCCATTTAAAGGTAGGACATGCCCCATCCTTGGCTGTTTCATCAATCTCAACATCTCGCCATTCTCTTTCTCTTCCTCCTTCTCAACACCACATAATAACACCCCAAACAAAGCCAAACAACCATGAAATTCATGAACACCCTCCTCCGCGGCCTCAGCGCCGCCTCCCTCACAGGGCTGGCTCTCTCCAGCCCAGTGGAGCTCGCCCGCGCCGACCAGCGCCCCATCTACGCAATCGCGCACCGCGTCCTCCGCAACACAGCCGTCTCAGCCGCGCTCTCACACGGCGCCAACGCCATCGAGATCGATCTCCAAGCATGGACCAAAGAATGGTGGGCGGACCACGACGGCGGCGCCGACACCGCAGGCGCCACAGCGCGCGAGATCTTCACCTTCATCGCGGACCAGCGCAAGCAAGGCTCCGACATCAGCTTCGTCTGGCTGGACATCAAGAACCCCGACGACTGCGATGCAGGGCAAGGATGCTCGATCGAGGCGCTGCGGGACCTTGTGCGCGAGACACTCGAGCCAGCTGGCGTGCGCGCGCTGTACGGCTTCTTCGGCACGGAGGACTCGCGCGGGTTCAAGGTCATGCAGGACAGCCTGAACGCCAACGAGGCGGTTGTGCTCTCCGGCGAGGCAGACGAGGTGCAGGAGCTGTACGGCGAGACGAAGATCGACGCTGCGCAGCGCGTCATGGACTACGGCGACGTGCACCTCGATAACGGCTTCGGCGACTGCACCGAGGAGTCGTGGAACACGTGCACGGAGCTGAAGCAGGGCGCCGAGAGCCGCGACCAGGGCAAGCTGGGTAAGGTGCTGGGGTGGACGAGCACCGACTCCGACACGGAGCGCGTGGGCCAGCTGCTTGGCACGGCCAACGTCGACGGCATCATCTTCGGGTTCCAGAATGCGGACTATGCTGATGATGAGGTGCCCAAGGCTGCTGGGAAGGATATCATTGATTTTGTCAAGAAGAACTCGGGCTCTATGCGCATGGCTAAGGGGACTGATGCGCCTTGGTAAATAGGTTTATGGATTCTGTACAGTTAGATGTTTTATCATAATATGTCACGTTAGGTGGTTTTTTTCAATTGGACATCGGTATCCTTTCTTCTTTCAACTCCTTTGCTTCTTTCATTTTCTTGTCTTTATTTGATAGAAACATTAGACCAGTTGTATAGACTGTACTGCGTGATAATCAAAAGTCAAAAAATGATCCCAACCTTGATGACAAAAAGTTGAAACAAAGAAGAGATGGAGAAAAATGAAAAAGTAACCACCAAAAAGAAAGAGGCAAAACATAGACAAACAAAAGCTAAACGACATCATTCGGATGTGAAGGGACAAAAAAGAAAAAGAATGACCAGTGCCAGGTTCGAACTGGCGACCTTTTCGGTGTTAACGAAACGATATGACCAACTAATCCAACCGGCCAACTTGATGATAGATTTCTAATTTTGAAATATATTCCACAGCCGGAGCGGTATCCACTACACGTTCTGATCGATGTATGAAGACCACCATTTTTGCAAATATGTTAACCGGAAAAAAGAAACATCCTTTCCAACAGAGCAAAAACAAAAAGGAAAGTTATAACAAAGAACCCAAGTGCCTCAGTAGTGCGGGGATTCTCTGTCACTGTTACATCAAACCCAAGTAGAGAACAAAAACCGTCCGGCAAATACTGGCGCTTCAATCGATTCTGTCTATCTTTCATAGCCCGAGAGACCTAAATATCTTGCTTTTCTTTGGAGTCGATGGGTAAAAAATGTGTGTTTGTCGAGGGACTACTTGCTTTTAAAGGATCTCAGATCCTCAATGCGAATATTTCCCACCAAATCATCCACGAGAGCCAGGATTACTGGGCCATCACTTCTACAAAACCCACCGTAGCGGAAGTTGCTCACATAACAGGCGTTCCCACCATCAGCGAAAGCAGAGAATGAGCCACCTCGGCCGCAGCAAGGGTGGTCGTCTCCGCCGCGGTGTCATAAGCCGGTGCAACTTCGACCACATCGGCACCAATCACAGGAAGCCCTTGCAGAGAATCCAGTACGGAGAGTAATTCACGAGTAGTGAATCCGCCCGGCTCAGCAGTGCCGGTTGCTAATCAGTCCAGTTAGCTTATTATATTGAGAATGGAGGGCATGATGTTCGACGCTCGACATACCGGGTGCATATGCCGGGTCTAAGACGTCAATGTCGACAGAGATGTAAACCCTGCTATTCTGAACCCTGGATTTGATCTGCTCCACCACTCCGTCGACTCCTAGACGGTCCAGGTCTCGGGCTTTGATTATTTCAAAGCCGCAGCGGATGTCGTTGCGGTAGTCGCCGCGTGGACGTACTACGGGAGCGCGGATGCCGACGTGGATGGAGTTGTTGCTAATTAGTCCCTGGGATACAGTTAGTGTCTTTCTGCGGGTTATTAATCTACGGAGGAAATACCTCCTCGTGGGCGAGATGGAGAAAGGTTCCGTGGTTGACACCACTGGACCGGTTAGCAGGGCCATGCCAAGCGTGATGTATACTCTTACGCATAGTGAGAGATTCCTCCGCCTGGGTCCATGTTAGCGACAGTACCTGTATCGTGAGACATGTTCACGCACCCAATACCGACGGATCCCATGTATCTAATATCCATCAGTAACCCATGGTTTGAAAATCCTTGCATGCAACTCACCAATGTGGCTGTCAAAATGAATCACCGAAACAGGTCCCCAATGGCGGTTTGTCGACCTCAGTGCGGATAGTGTCGTGGTATGGTCTCCTCCAAGGGTGATGATCCGGGGAGTCGTTCCATGCTCAGTGGCTTTCGTTGGACGAGACGAGACAACCTACGCAATGAGCATCCGGGACAAGAACTGTCGACTCGATGAGAAAAAAAAGTATCACCTTATGCGCCAAATCGAGCTGCTTCAGCGCAAACGTATTATCCAACCATGTCAGCGGAGCATCACCACAGTCCACCACATTGGCCCAGTCCTGAAACGCGTTCAAACCAGTGTAGACGCTCCAGCCTCCCAGTCTCCGACTACCCAGTCGGATGCCGCTAGGTCCAAACCTAGCGCCGGGACGACCTGTCACTGCCTGTTCCGCATTAGCTGGCTTGCGACAGCAATACTCCAAACCGGTTGGTAGGAGTAAAACGTACCGTATCGAAAGGAGCCCCCAGGAATGCAATATCATAAGGCGTGGACTCCGCTTCAGCATCTACGAAGCAATTGACATAGGGCATTTGCGCAAAGGTGGTCAGGCCCGAGAATTGGCTGCCCGTGGTGATGTCAATCGGATCGCCATGGACGAGGGGATATTGGCCCGTCGGACCGTGGACAGCTGCGACAGGAGGAAAGGCGATTTCCCGAGCGACAACAGAGGACACGAGGAATAGACTGAATAAGGACATTTCGAAAGACTTGACGACTTGTTCCATCGGAGGAACCAAGCCATGTCGCGGTTAAGTACTAGGCTAGCTCCTTCGCCTCCGCATCGATAACCTTATCGATTGCCTTAACCAAAAGAGTAACTGCACGCGATCTCTCCGTTTGCGGGGTCTTTCTCCATTATTCTTCCGTCAGTCAACCCTCGGGTTGAAGCCACTATTGGACCCATCGAAATTGATTCGATGAGGATGACGAAGCCTGAGAAGGAATGGGGTGATTGAGAAGTGAGCATCGGGGCTGCTGCGCTACAGACAAGGCGGCCTCAGGCCGATCTCCGTCTCCGCACTCCACTTTCCACTTTTTTCTCTGGGACTCATAACCACCGCCTTCGTCCCCATCGCATCCAGCATATAACTCGTGACTTCACCCCCTAGAACCAAGCAATTGACTTGCAAAATGGTATAATCCAACATTGCCCCTCAATTGTCGAAGCGCACCCCTAACCATCAATCCAGCCGCACGCCGACGCATCCTACTTCGGCGACGCCAGCGCCTCCGACTTCGGCACCGCCAATGCCTCCAAATCCGAAGTCTACGCCCAAGTCCTGGACCAGGCCCGCGGTCTGGTAACAGGACAACGCAACTGGGTATGTCTCATTTCTCCTCAAATAGCACAATCTATTATACCAGATGCCCCGATTCAATCAACTAATACTCAACCAACAGATCAGGTACGATACTCCCGCCCACGCCCGCCACATCCCATTCCCCTCACCTCCACCCCGAAACGGTAACGATAGACCAAGACCAACAAACTAACAACTGGGGTGAAACAATAAAAGTAACTTCTCCAACGTCGCCTCCCTCCTCTGGCACGCCTACGCCGCCCTCCCCGCGCCCTCCTCGGCCGTAAACTGGGCCGGCTTCTACATCCGCCAGGACAAGTTCCCCAAGCTGGGCAGCAGTGGCGACGACCAAACCGCGAACACCACCCCCGCGAAGCCCACCCTCCTCCTCGGCCCCTTCCAGGGCAGACCCGCGTGCCAGGAGATCCGGTTCGGGCGAGGCGTGTGTGGCTCCGCGGCCGAGAAGCGCGAGACGCTCGTCGTGCCGGACGTGATGAGTTTCCCGGGCCATATTGCTTGTGATGCGAGTAGTCGGAGTGAGATTGTGGTGCCTATTCTTTCTGGGGGGGAGGTAAGCTTTCTTTGTTTATGGGTTTACGGGTGTGGGAAAGTAAATATGATTGCTGACTCTGATAGACGGTTGCGATTATCGATATCGACTGTACGGAGCCGGACGGGTTCGACGACGTTGATCGGAAATATCTTGAGGAATTGGCTGGTTTGCTGGCTGAGTGTTGCGATTGGTAAGGTAGGGTGTTAGGTTTAATATATCGACATCTGCTCCGTACCTACTACCTATATAGATCTCTTCCGGTTAGAAGGCTAATGGGCGTTTGTGTGCCTATTTTTTAAATCATACTAAAAAGATCAGGATAATATGTCTGGGATTAAAAACGCTGTCAAACAGACAGCGATGATTAATTGCAAATCGAGCAATAACATATATGACCTTATCAAATACCCTCAACCCCAGTTATCGCGTTCCAGCCCAGTCAATCAATCAATCAACTGCAAATCTCCCTTAAAAAAAAATGAAAAGAAACACCCAGTATAATGTGAAAAATGACATCGCTAATTCCATCCGAAGCCCGAAATAGGAAAATATTCTATGCCGAGGAAATGACCGTCATGTGAGAAATCAAAACCTCCAAACCAAACGCCATCTGGTATCGATATATGTATGCTTGTGTAGTTGTAGTTGTAGTTGTAGTATAGTTGCGGAACCGCGTCATCCGGTGGTTGGTGTATCACAGCGAGTGGGAAGAAAAGAAAAAGAAAAAAAAAAAAAAAATAGGGCAAAAAGAGAAGGGGAGAATTGCGCTGTAGAACGCATGCCAGCTACATGTTCAGCAAGCTCATCTGCCTCTTCATTGGGCTAACGGAGCCGGAATCGCCATCCTCGCTAGGGCCGAGTCCGCTATCCGTGCCATTTAGGCCCTCGTCGGTGTCGATATCCCAGTCTTCTTCGTCTTCCTCTTCATCGGCGGCGTCAGCGGCAGCGGCGTCGCCTTCACCGTGCCAGCTCTTCTGGATGGCGCCGCGGGTATTCCAACGCAGGGCGCGCTGCACGCTCTGGAACCATTCGCCGCTGCCGGAGACGACGGTGGGAAAGGGGTACTGGCTTGCTTCGACAGTGACGTAGTCGCCCTTTCGCAGTTCGACGCGGCCTTTGCCGTCGAAGGAGCAGTAGGCGGTGGAGCGTGAGCCGGCGGGGACGGCGATGCGGAGGAGGAGGGAGTCGGAGAGGACCATTGGGCGGAAGGATAGTGTGTGGGGGCAGATGGGGGTGAGGAGGATGCCGGGGATGGAGGGGTGGATTAGAGAGCCGCCTGCGGAGAGGGAGTATGCGGTGGATCCTATGGTTATTAGGACTGGGGGTCTTTTTGGTCTTTTTGGGGAGAGTGAAGTGGCACATACCTGTCGGGGTAGAGAAGATGCACCCGTCCGCTTGGACTACCGTGAGGAGATCATTGTCCGCGTATAGTTCGAGGTTCGAGACGTACGGCGACGGCCCGCGGTCGATTACGAGCTCGTTCAGCACTTCGAACTGTTCCCCTTCCTCCACGGCGTCGGGGGCTGCTCCTCTGCGGCGATCTTTGCGGAAGACGGTGCACGTGAATCGCATACGCAGATTGACTCTCATGCCGACGTCTCCCATCACCGCGTTCAAGTGCTCTTTGTAGTTCTCGAACTCGAAGTTGGTCAGAAAACCCAAACTGCCCAACGAGAAGCAGAGGATGGGTGGAACCACCCGCTGGAAGAGCCACGACGTAAAGAGCACTGTTCCGTCTCCCCCTAAGGTCAGGACAAGGTCGAATTTCTCCGGAGCCGACCAGCAGAGATCCGGCGTCCAATACTGCAGCATCTGCGCATACCGCGGGTCCTGTCGCAGCAATCCCGGCGCATCGAACCGCTTGGAATTCCGCAGTTTGGAATCAACGTACACGTTGACCCCCACGTCGTTGCCGTACCTCGGCGTCGATAGAAGCCACAGGGCGAGTTCGCGCGTCAGATGGACCAGGCTGTTATCGCGCGCCTTGGTCACGATCATGACATTCCGGACGGCGCGCCGGATGGGTCTCCGCTGCAGCTGTTTGGACACCTCGCGGACGCCCGTTGCGGTTTGGACCAGTCGCGAATGAGATAACCACTCATCATCTGCGATTTCCTCCAAAACCTTCTGGATATTCACCGCGTCGTCGAACCGTTTGTGGAAAAAGCAAGGAGACTGTATGACATATCGTGCGGTCGCAGAAACATGGTCGACGCATTTACCGCTCGGCTGCAGGCTGGTGAGCGCTGCAGATAATTTCTGCGAGGATGAGTCCATGTCGTCGGGAGGGCTGGAAGAGTTGCTATTGGTACGGAGTCCCAGGGACGTCGCTAGGGACACGTTCGGGTTATGGTTGTTCAACATCGAAGGCCGCGACGCTAGCGCCTTCATGATGGTCTGTCGGGGGATCGAGTCGCTGGACAGGGCGTTGCGGCTATGCCCGACCAGCGAGGATGTGGATCGGAGAGCGAGGAATGGGGATGACGAAGGCTGTACGCCCGCGGTGTCGTCAACCGCGACGGTCTGCGACGTCACGGTGGTGGTTCGGGATGTTGCTGGAAGGTCTCCAACATGAATCTCGTTATGTGTCTGCGACGGGTCTATATGACATGCATAGTCACGAAGGAGCGACGCCCCGACCGTCGACGTGCAATCAGGAGAGGGGTGTGAGGGCGGGGCAGTGGCAGACGACGATGAGGAGGACGAGCAGGATGGTGGAGCCGACGCGACAGTATCGGTCGAGAGATCAAGCGCAGGTGGTCTATGGTTCACAGGGTCATGGTGGGAACGCGACGATGCCATGGGCAGGCGAAAAGCAAATCAGGGCACCCCTGATGAATCGGTTCGATTAAAACACGTCGCAGGTATGCGGTAAAATAGGCTGCTGGAATGGGGGAAAACAGGGAAAAAAAGACAGGCGGGGAGAAAGTTGGTTTGAGAAGCGGACCGTAAGCCGAGCTCGGATGTAACGGGGTTTGGACGGACCACTTTGCTCCCCTGGGTCATTCCAAGGAAGTGTTGACTTGGTACCTCTCTCAAGTCCAACGCTCAAACCTCCACTCGTCTTACTCAGGGTCAGTGGAGACAGTAATCGGCTCCAACCCACATCCACCAAGCTCTTGACTGGCTGTTACGAGTTTCGATCGGCTTCCATGGTTTTTGCGATCGAAGTCATGATGAAAAGGATCGAGGAAGATCTCCGCACTGAATAGGGTGGAAGACGAAGGAACAGGTACCAACTCCACAGATGGTACACTGAGATAAGAAATTGAACCTCAAGCTCCAGGTAGCCACTCACAGCAACTGAAATTGGGTTTTTATAGGCTACGACCCCTTTTCCTCCCTTCATGGCGTAATTCGAGGATCACTCTTGTAAACCCACCGGATCACACATTTACACATCACGGCGTCATTCTGCAAGGGGGGTCCCGTTTGCATCTACTCCGTAGGGACAGGATCCTCCATACTCTGGCGGTGTCAAATCACAGGAGTTTTTTCTGATTCTAGTCTCATTTTTGCGAGTTGCCTCGTTTTCTCTGCGTCTTTCTCGGGTCAATCAAATCACAGTGTGACGTTTCTTCCGTCGCTCTGCCTCAGCATGACGGCTCACATCCACATTAGAAACTCGGAATTAACTTAGTTGGTTATAGTTGGCTTGCATTTGATTTTCTTTTTTTTGTATTCAAGTCATTAACAGGCTATCGTTCTATTGGTCAACCAGCCAGCGTCGTGCTGCCGGATTGGACGATCTTACGCGCATGGTCGGTGTATTTTGCTCAGATTTGTCCGACTGCAGTAGTGCATTCTCCAGCCATCCACGATTTAACCGAAGGTGAAAAACAGACGCCTCAGAAGACTTTGGGCGTCTCCATTGGTTTGGTGATGTATCCACTATCGGACTGGGAAAATGGTAGGTTCCAGAATATGCCGTGGGACTCCCAAAATACATGGCACTAGAGCATGTGCCGTGAGATGCCTGTACTGCCAAGGGTGCCCCAAGTGTGACAAACGATTGGCCATGCCCGCACGACCTGCAAGCAAGAACCACTGCATTACAGTCGCTCTTCGGATCATGGCGGTCAGCATGTATGCGTAGAAACCGCCGAAGGGGGCCCTATGGTCGCAGATTCGATCGCACGGGAAATCCCGTCACACCGCATCAATGCTCCAGGCATAGTCGCGGTGGACCTGGTCTTCGACCGCCTCGCGGATCGTTCCCTCCAGAGGCTGTCCGTCCACGTCCACGGTCATGGTGACATCTCCATCGGATCCGTAAGACGCCGTCCCGCGGCAGATGGCCAAAGCGCGTTCCCGCACGTTGTCCCAGGTATCGAGGTCAAACGCTCCTTGGCTCTCGTTCAGTAGGAGATGGCCCTTGGATGAGAACGCCAGCACGTGGACTGACGCTGCCGAACTGGCAACCTCAGCGGTCGGTTCGCGAAGAATGTCTCCGGTGGAGGTGACGGCGAGGGAAGTGGCGGAAAAGGTCATGGACATCGGCACGGAGGCAGAGAGAAGGGCCAATAAGGATGTATTGAGGAGCGCAGGGAGTAGTGTGAGATACTGTTGGAAAGCGCTGCGATTAGTCCAGTGTCCGCCGGGGTTGCTCAAGAAGTTTGTCCTTACCGAATCTCCTCTCCTTGCAGATTGGCCCCCAACAATCGCGAGCGTGATAACAACCCCTCGCCTCGGATATCCTTTCTCTCGCCCCAAGATCAACCTGGAGATCATGGTCTTGATGATTCCCTCCACGTATCGTTCACCAACTCCGGCAGGAGCGGTTCCGGGCTTGACAAATACCTCCACGGTCGCTTCTTCGGGTTTCAAAGCATCCCGGCGTCCAGGAAGCTCGACCGGGGCGTTGACGGACCCCAAGATGTTCGATCCGGTCGAGGGACATTGGTAGGAAGCCGAACCATCGGCTCGACTGAGGGGCGTTAGAGTAACATTCGGGCCCACCATAGTGACGAAAAGCTGCAAGTTGGTGGACAATTGAGGTGAAAGGTTCAGTCGACACCGGGTGCGCGGGCAGGAAGCGAGGTCAATTAGAGAGTGGATGGAGCGGTTGAGATTGATGGAGAGAGTCTCGTCGCCAGTTCCGCTGGGAAATTTTTGGGCGGCGGCCGGAGAGTGCGGGCCGCTTTGTTATTGGCGGGCGGCAGTTCCACTACCACTACCTAGATGTCCACGCCATCAATGGTGATGCTTCCTATCGGCCAGGTCAATTAGAATACTCGCTATAAAAGTTGATGTTATCGATATAGTTGCAGAGCCTTTTATATTACGATACACGTAAACATCTGTCAACTAACATCCAGGAAGGTGGCAAAGTTCGCCGACAACGCAAGAGTCAGGCTATTATGCGAATATATATCTCTTGATAGACAGTGGAAGCTAAGCACAATGCCAAAACACCCGCCCCTAAATTAAGACCAGCTATAGGGGCCTATTAATGAAGTTAGACCAAAGTGGATTGCTGCTCAATGGGTAGTCGGTCAAGTAAAGGTAGCCTCCCGATTATCGCTGTATATCAGAGTATTGTGATTATGTGTCGTGCAGGACTGGACATGTCATTAAGAATAAGGACAACGTAGGAAGTACTAGAGAATACCTGATCCTTTCTCTACGCTTCGCTAAGCTCAGAATGTACTAGGTAGCATATCCTCTAGATTTCGTGTACTAGATAGGGAAGGCCAGTACATCCCAAATCAACGAAAGGCGTACTATATGTGACTAGTCTAGGATGACCAAAGATTCGCTTGACTAGCCAGACAAGCTGAGGTAGACCGACATTCATATCCCATAATTGAAACATCCCCGTGATACTGCAGCAGGTCCAAGAATGCTCAGCCACGTTGCCGAGCAGGAGTGGTCTACACTACGTAATCGGAAGTACTATAACGGTTACTATCAGACCGAAGCCCAACCTTGTGGAATAGTCAAGTGTGAGTTACTTACACGAGTAAATGGTAGTAGTTCGTATCGTCCGACGAAAATTAAAGAAACCAATACACAGTGACTTGGCCCCTGGGACCTATCTAGTTATCATTCTTGAATCCAAAAACAGGCAAAAGATGCTGGATGGAAGATGACGGCAGCTCACGTGGACAAAGAGACCACTGGGGTCAACCTGGGCGTCAAAGCATCAATCCGGTGAATGGCGTCCACTAACCCACTCTCCATCCAATCCAATGGGATCCAGTCCGACTTCCAAGCCATTAGCGTCCCCAGTCTCAGCGCATCAATCACCGTTCTTCCACTGGCCATGGTGACAGGGAATTTAGTCGGCCAAGATAGAGATATCGTCATGTTCCAGTGATATTCATGGTCCAGAACAGTGCTCGTTGGCTGCCCCTCACGCCCCCGTCGGTTGGCCCTGTTTGGCTTCCCCTCGTCATGTTCCACCTGATTCTAGACGGATAGTTACTTACCGATTATAAGAGGGGAATCCTACCCAGCTGTTGTTTCCTGATCATCAATTTTTGCCCTGAAACTACTTGCTTTGCCGGTGTTTATATCGGAATTCCAAAGCCGTCTTCTCAGCAACGTCCCTTTTCATCACAGCGCTAATTGAATGGGCATAGAAAGCTCTCCACCTGATGTCGAGGAATCGACGGAACCCCCTATATGTCCTTATTCGAAGGAAAATCATCCAGGGAAAGACACACCGCCTGTTGATGTAGAAGGGAAAGGCAGCTTGGAGATAGGGCAAACGGGACTGATCCCAACAGATCCCAATTGTGATGCCAAGGAGCTACACGCAGAAAGTCTACGTCCACGTTCAAATTTCAAGGATCCCTCGCAACATGCTCACGTCATCGACCCCGATGCTCTTGCCGCAGCTCTCAATGTCGACATCAAGTAAGATTTGTTCCTGAGTGGAAGGGACTATTGCACGATAGAAACTGATAAGGTGATTAGCAATGGCCTCCTCAGTGAGGAAGCCGAAGCTCGCCTCCTGCGAGATGGACCCAATAGGTTCCGCGAGATGGAGGGTGTATCGGCATGGAAAATCTTGTTGAGGCAAGTTTCCAACAGTTTGACCTTAGTATGATATTCGTCCATGGTTCACTGTGCTACTGCACTGTGGTGTCACAATTCTATGTTAACTGGGAAGAAAAGGTCCTGGTCATCACAATGGCAGTCTCGTTTGGTATCGATGATTATATTGAAGGAGGCGTCATAGCCGCCGTGATCCTTCTCAACATCGTCGTCGGGTAAGCCCACGCTTGCCCGTTACATCTTGCTGAGATGGTGTCTTATTGTATGGCAGATTTGTGCAAGATTACCGTGCGGAGAAGACAATCCTCTCGCTCCATCGACTTTCGGCACCGCTGTGCAACGTCTTGCGTAATGGACGAGTGGTATCGATCAAGGCGGAATCGCTCGTTGTTGGGGACATTGTCAAACTGACAGTGGGCGATATCGTCCCAGCAGACATTCGACTACTCGATGGGATGAATATCTTCACGGACGAGGCTTTGTTGACAGGCGAATCTCTGCCGGTCATGAAAACCCCGCATGCCACTCTGACCTCAAGAGATATTCCTATTGGGGATAGGACCAACATGGCATACTCAGGGTCCAATATCACTCAGGGACGAGCAGAAGGAGTAGTTATCGCTACGGGAATGGCTACCGAGATGGGCAAAATTGCTCAGCTCCTCCAGGACAAAGATCCCAATGAGAACTTAGGGCTATTAGCACGTACTGTCGGAAACTTGAAAAATACGGGCAAGAACCTTCTAGGGCTTGTTGGTACACCGTTGCAAATCAAGCTCAGCAAATTCGCCCTGCTTCTGTTTGCCCTCGCTATTATCCTCGCTATTATTGTCTTCTCTGTCAGCGAGTGGGACGTCCAGGGAGAGGTTCTCATCTACGGTATATGCGTGGCAGTTGCCGTAGTGCCAGAGTCCTTGATCGCCGTTCTCACCATCACGATAGCGGTAGGGACCAAGGCAATGGCTCGGGGCAATGTCATTGTGCGCAAGCTGCAATGCCTGGAAGCTGTTGGTGGTGTCACCAATATCTGTTCTGATAAGACCGGGACATTGACCCAGGGAAAGATGATTGCACGTTCCGCATGGATTCCAGGTGCGGGTACACTGACAGTTGACCAAACAACTGACTCGGTCGACCCTACTAGTGGTGTGGTCCAAATGGATGAAATCGACTGGGAACCCGAGGCCTTTCAAGGAAACCATGCTCTGAACACATTCTTAACTGCTATTTCCCTATGCAACTTGTCTATCGTACACCGCGGTGTGCGCCCTGTATCAGAGACAGAAACAACTGGTGCTACCGAGAATACCTGGACAGCCGTCGGAGAACCTACAGAAATTGCTCTCCACGTTCTTGCAATGCGTTTTGGCTTTGGGAAGTCCGACGTATTGAGAACACGGGATGTCCTTCTCCATACCGAATACCCCTTCGACTCTTCGATCAAAAAAATGACGGTGGTCTACACTAACCCAAAAGCACAAACCCTCGAGGTGTACACAAAGGGGGCACCTGAGGCAGTGATATCTTCATTCAATATCAGCGAGAAAGAAAAGACTCTGATCCAAGAGACCGCAGACAGAATGGCCGGAGAGGGCCTCCGTGTTCTGTGCATAGGGTACAAGACGGCCCCCATTGACGACGAACCTCAAGTATGTCCACGTAATGCTGCCGAATCGAACTTGACATTCGGCGGTCTAGTGGGATTATATGACCCCCCGCGAGTCGAAACCGCCGCTGCTGTCCGAAGGTGTCAAATGGCCGGTATAACGGTGCATATGCTGACTGGAGACCACATTCGGACGGCAACAGCCATCGCATCTGAAGTCGGTATCCTTGATGCTATCATCAATGCCAAATCGAGCCGGCTTGTTATGGCGGCAAAGGATTTTGATCGGTTATCTGATGAAGAGATCGACGCTATCGAGCAGCTCCCTCTGGTAATTGCACGCTGCAGCCCGACCACAAAAGTACGCATGGTGGACGCGATGCACCGACGGAAGGCGTTCTGCGTCATGACTGGTGATGGAGTCAACGACTCGCCGGCTTTGAAGCGCGCGGATGTTGGAATAGCAATGGGGAAGAATGGCAGTGACGTCGCTAAAGAAGCTGCCGATATGGTTTTGACAGACGACAACTTCTCATCCATCGTTAAAGCGGTGGAGGAAGGCAGACGACTTTTTGACAACATTCAAAAGGTACAACAACCCATTTCTGAATTCCAAGCTTTGTTGTTAAAGTCCATTCCTTCGTGTATCTGTAAGGCTAACATCACACAATCACATAGTTCCTCATGCACCTTCTCATTTCCAATATTGCTCAAGTGATACTTCTTCTTATTGCACTCGCATTCAAAGACAACCACGGGAACTCTGTGTTTCCTCTATCACCTCTAGAAATATTGTGGGCCAACTTGGTCACCTCATCATTCCTAGCTCTGGGGCTCGGGCTCGAAGAAGCACAACCCGACATTATGTACCGCCCACCCCACGATCTGAAAGTGGGCGTCTTCACCCGAGAGCTCATCACAGACAAGATGATCTACGGTACTTTCATGGGAACCCTATGCCTAGTAGCCTATGTCTGCGTTATCTACGGCGCAGGCTCAGGATCTTCCAGCATGGGAATCGATTGCAACGAAGGATACAACGAAACGTGTGACACAGTCTTCCGGGCACGCGCCACGACCTACGCCACACTAACCTACTTACTCCTGGTAACAGCATGGGAAGTCAAGCACTTCTCTCGCTCCCTGTTCAACCTAGATCCCAGCATGCCGCCCGGGCCCCTGACCGTGTTCCACGCAATTTGGCGCAATCGGTTTCTCTTCTGGGCGGTAGTCGCTGGCTTCGTGATTGCCTTTCCGGTCATCTATCTGCCTTTCGTGAACCGCATCGTGTTCAAACACCAGAGCATCTACTGGGAATGGGGAATTGTATTCGGATGTGTGCTCGTCTATCTGGTGATGATTGAAATATGGAAGGCTATCAAACGAAGGTTCAGAATCGGGAGTGGAAGACATGGAACGTTGACTGTGGAAGACGCGGAAATGAGGGCCGGGCTTGGGTCCCCGACGCCTCTGTCCATGAGTGCCAATGCGAGCGTGGATGCTAGTGTAGAGATGAAGTAGATGGTGGGTTGGCAGGGAGTGAAGGGAAAGACTTGATTTGAGGGGGCCATTTTCAACGATAGTTCAGATTGTCTGCGCCCATAGGGGCGGACGTTGTTGCAGGTGTTCAACACACCTTTTTTCTTGCGATTTTTAAGATTGATTTCGGTCATTTATTCGGATATATCTAGCTTATTGAGTCCGACCTGCGAACGGCATATTTGATGACTTTCTTGACCTTCGGTATTTCTTTGCTTAGTCGTTGGCGATAAGGACTGACAACGAGGAAGCTCACCTGGGCTGTATCATTGTCATCTTATAAACTGGCTGTATCTTTGCCGAACTGGAAAAGCGCAACACTACATTCACTGGTCATATTTGCGATAACTTTCGTCCTAACATATTATACATCTTATCCATTTGCTCTCGTGTCACTCAAACACACCGAACTGCCTGGAATAAATCCAAGAAGCCCAATACCTATTCACAAGCATCCTGCATTTAGAAAGACAAGGAAGCTAACAGAACGATTACGTGGTCCCTATTTATCAGACAAGATAATTTCACCTTTGCTTACGGGTTACCGAAACAACTGTGAGTGGCTAGCCACTCTAGCAGGTTCCAAAGCACGGTCATATCTGTGTTGCTTACCTGCAGCGGCGGCGGGGTTACTTTCACTGCTAGCGAACAGTCCCTAATTACGGCCGGCATCTGCTTTCGCCGATGAGACAATTGCTATCTCAGCTTCAACTCACCAGCGGGCGACAATCAAGATGAAAATCCTATGTCTCCACGGAAGAGGCACCAGCGGTGCCATCTTCAAGTCGCAGACCTGTTCGTCACACCACCCTTACTAGCCCACAACCCTACTACCACAACCAAATACTAATTGACTACCCCGACAGCCACAATCCGCTCCCGCCTCAAAGAATCCAACATCCAATTTGACTTCCTCGACGGCCTCCACAGCAGCCCCCCAGCGCCTGGAGTCGACCTCTTCTACGAACCCCCCTACTTCACCTACTGGGAAGATGACACAGCGACCGAAATACGGCAAACCAGCACATGGCTTAAAGCGCACATCGCGCAGCACGGGCCCTACGACGCGGTCCTCACCTTCTCGCAAGGCTGCGCGCTAGCCGCCAGCGCGCTCCTCCTGCACGAAGCCGAAGAACCGCACATGGCCCCGCCGTTCAAAGCTGCTATCTTCATCTGCGGCGGGTCCCCGCTGCCGATCATGGAGAGCGTGGGGTATGAGATTTCGGCGCGCGCGTGGGATCTGGATCAGCGGACGAGGGACGCGCTGGCGGCGCAGGCGGACTCGGCGTCGATTTTGGAGCGGGGGTCGGAGAGGTGGAGTGGGGGTGGGGATATTTTGAAGGGGATGTCGGTAGATGAGGTGAGGGGGGAGATTGGGGGTGGTGGGAGTGTGAAGATTGGGATTCCGACAGTTCATGTTTATGGGAAGAAGGATCCGCGGTTTGTGGCGAGTTTGCAGTTGTTGGAGACTTGTGTGGCTGAGCGACGGAGGGTGTATGATCATGGTGGGGGGCATGAGATTCCGAGGCTTGAGGCTGTTAGTTCCACTATTGTGGATTTGATCAGGTGGGCGCTGAAGGAGGGCGGGGCGATGGAGGGTAGTAGGTAGGACCTTTCGTGCGTGCAGGGGTAGGCGCGTGTTTTGGGTGGTGCCTATTTAGGTTCCATTGTTACCATGATACTCTCGAGTCTGATGCCAATCAGGGTGCAGTGGGAATTGATTAGGATGACGCCATTTGATACTATCGACAGGTTAAGATTAGAGAGGGGAGAACCAATGATAGAATATCATCTTCAAGCCACGATAGGGCATCAGCAACGGGAATACGACGGACCTCAGCTCAGTATGAATGGCTTTGCCACATTAGGCCACAGGCAGGATGTCATAGAGTGGCACTTATATTAACTACGTCAGTGACCCCGCCTTGGCTGGCTCAAGCGGTGGATATCGTGTTGATCGCTCAACCCGATCATCAGATATAAATGAGATCGCACATCCCTTTCCTAGCTGTTAGGAATATTCGTCACTGTCGCAGTATACCACACCATACATCTATCCATATTCCTTCGCGCTCAGCAATATCCACAAGAATGTCCGGCGAACTCGAGAAGTGGAAGCAGACCCTGGTGGGGAAGAAATACGTTGAAGGCGGGGCGTCGGCGGAGTCCGATAACGTGTGTTTATACTCCTTCCCTCAATAACTATCAGTGTGAGTGTACATCTCCTAACAGTATTTGTGAGGCAGACATTCAGCGAAGCCACACTGCCCGAGAAGAAACGTATCGTGAACCCGGGCATGTTCCTCACGATGGACTTTCAGAAAGACAGGTGAGTGCATCAGCTTGGTATATTGATAAGAAGGTGGACCACAGCGACTGATGCGTGCTTGATATAGACTGAATGTACATCTGGATGATAATAAAGTTTGTACCAAAGTTACTATGGGTTGAATCTGGTGTTTCCATGGGTGGATCGACTTGAGCGGTGGTTTTCTGGGGTTCGATAGCTGGGTTTTCATCATTGTGTTTGTATATATTAGGATAGAAATATTTTACGATTTTCTATGACAATGGATTGTTTCAAGATGATGGTGGACGCTTGATCTGAATCACGTGTACCTTCGCCTACCTTGCCGGGATATTTCCCTTGCTTTCCACACCCTCATCTTTTCTAGTACCACATCCCGAATGCCTGAAGCCTCGGTTATACAGTGTATATCCCTCTAACAACGCAGGTAAATAGACACGGAGGGGTATTTACAATCTGCCTTTCACCCCGGAACTTTCTGGACTTGATTCTCGATTCAACCAATAGATATTAGGTTGCCGATTCTACAGCTCTGCGAATGACATTCACCGCTCGGGTCACATCAACACGCGACCCATATCCCGGGACCTCATGGCCTCGCTCATGGACATAGGTCCACCGCACATCTTCTCTGCAGAATTCGCTTGCTTTTGCAGCCCCTTTGGGCTCCACATCCAGCGCTCCCCATATATGGGCAGTGGGACTATCTACTATTCCCTTTAGGCGTTCTAGAGAGGCATCCTCTACAGTCCCATTCTCAAGAGCCCCATAGTCAATCGGCGGTTGGACAATTGACATCAAGACCGCGAATTTGAAGGGCGTGTCGATGGATATGCCCATTGTTCTTTGCTCGGCGATGTAAACAAGATATGTTAAGACCATTGTGGCCGCTTGGCTGAAGGCAATTACGCCGTCGTATGGGCCCTCATCCCTGAGGTAGTTTTGCAGATGGGCGAATGCCTGTCGGCCTGTGTCGGGGTTTTCAGGATCGAAAAAGGCATATACAGGTTCGTCCTTCAAAGCTATCCTTTCGACTCCTGGGATACTTGTCAGGATATCCTTGGATCATGGAAAGAGGCCCCATAGCACTGACCTGGGTACATTTTCCAGGGGATTGTTCCTTCCACAAAATCATAATCGTGGTTATCTCCGAGCTCATATCGCAAGGCAGCTAGAAAGGTCAATTTTACTCATAGTCTGAGAGCTCACCGCATACCTATCTGGATCTCGAATATCTGTCTCAAATGAACATTAGTATATGTGGCGCTGAGAACAATAGTGACAGTGAAGGTTCTTACGCGAGAGTTTGTGCCGGCTCCATGCAGACTGCCCGCTGGTCAGTACTGAAAATAACTCTATCAAAGTTTATATCTGCCAGGGGTCATACCATAAGATGCGCATTCTGTAGCCTGGGGTGCGGAGAGGTGTGCTGAGAGGTTTTGTCGCTTACCAACAAGAGGCAATCTGCAGTTTGCGGCCTTTATCATACCTCCGCACTTATGTATGACTCCGGTCCAAATAAGCTGACGGCAGAAAGGTTGCACTGGAACACTTTGTGGGAACATTTCCGGTGGAACTGCGGGTCGTTACCCACTCAGCACTAGTACCTAGGTTATCGGAATCAGATCTTGAAGCCCAATTAGAGTGGAGACTTTGGTGATCTATGACAATCTACCAGATTAATTTGTCATGCTGATGGGTTCCTCCCATTCTTGGAGGGCCAACCATAAGCCCCACGATCGCTAGCAGGAACCTTGTGCGGTTTGAGACGTGACGGACCTTACAGGTACGCTTTTGCAATGGTATGCATTGATATTTATTCTCAGGGGCCGCTCCTGGCAAAGACAGGAAAATATTGGAAAAATTCACTGACCATGGCGTCGATCAGTTTTGAGGATAAACTTCAACCACTAGCAATCATCGGACTCTCCTTCAAGTTTCCGCAGGATGCGACCTCTTCTCAGGCCTTCTGGGACATGCTGGTCCACGGAAGATGTGCGTCGACGGAATTTCCCACCAGCCGAATGACCATCGAATCCCACCATCACCCAGACCGAGACCGACTAGACACCATCTCTCCCCGTGGTGGACATTTTATCTCCGAAGATCTCGGCGCTTTCGATGCACCGTTTTTCGGTATTAGTGGACCGGAGGCCGAGGCCATGGATCCCCAGCAGCGTCTCGCTTTGGAGACGGCCTACCGAGCGTTCGAAAGTGCGGGACTCCCACTTGAAGCTATTGCGGGTTCTAAAACAAGCGTTGTTGCCGGTTCTTTCTGCGACGATTACCATATGTTGCAGGTCAAAGACCCGCTGAATGTCAGCAAGCATAATGCTACAGGAAATGCGAGGAACATGATTTCTAATCGTCTGAGTTGGTTTTTTGATCTCCATGGCCCGAGTGCCACGGTTGACACTGCCTGCTCAAGTAGTTTGATTGCGTTGGACATGGCGTGTCAGTCTATATGGGGCGGGGATGCTACAATGGTAACCGAACATTTGCTTTACTCCACAATTCAAAGAGTGCTGACGGTTGAATAGGGCCTCGCAGTTGGGTGCAACGTTATGGTTGCGCCTGAAATGACTATTGGGCTAGACAACCTAGGTCTCCTGTCTCGCGACAGCCGCAGCTATAGTTTTGACGATCAAGCCAATGGATATGCCAGGGGAGAAGGAATCGGCGCACTGGTGATCAAACCATTAAAAGACGCTGTAAGCGATGGTGATACAGTCAGGGCTGTTATCCGATCGTCAAGCTCCAATCAGGATGGAAAAACACCTGGCATCCTGCAGCCGAGCAAAGAGGCTCAAATGCGTTTGATCTACGACACGTATAGTAAGGCGGGTCTAGACATGGCGGCTACGAGATATTTTGAAGCACATGGCACAGGTTAGGTTCCTGTTGAGATGATGGAAACCAAAGCACTAATAGCTTTCCAGGAACACCTATTGGTGACCCGATTGAGATTCGAGGTATAGGATCCGCGTTCCGTAAATATCGCTCGAAGGAGGAGCCATTATACGTGTAAGGCCCTATTGTAATAGGGCTTCTGGAGAAGTGCTTATCAAGACTAGGGGATCTGTCAAGTCAAACATCGGACACCTGGAGGGAGCTAGTGGTATTGCAGGTGTGATAAAGACGATCCTGGCACTCGAGAAAGGGATTATACCACCCAATAGTGAGAATTTGCGAAGGATCAATCCTCAAATAGACGAAGAGTTCTTTCACATTAAGGTAAGAAACCCTTTCCAACATTGTCAATGGCGAGTTCTGACTCGGCGCGACAGATACCACAACAAGCTGTGCCTTGGCCGACTGATGGACTGCGAAGAGCGTCTGTCAGCTCCTTTGGCTTTGGTGGAGCTAATTGCAGTGTCGTTCTTGATGATGCATACAATTCACTACGTCTTCGAGGGATGGAGGACGGAAAGCACCAAACGGCAATTACCCCTCCACAACCTGAAACAATCCACGATGCTCTAGATGACCGATTTGGGGACAAAAGTGGTACTTTAGAAAACTGTGCCATCATTAACGACGAGGAATCGAGTGGGGAAGACCAATCAACGCTGCTTGTCTGGTCGTCTGGGGACGAAGATGGGATTAATCGCACAAGAGAATCTTGGGAGACATACTTGTCTAACCTAGCTATTCCAAATTCTGAGAAGGGATATGCACAGAACCTGGCACACACACTTGCATCGAGACGGAGTCACCTGAAATGGAGATCTTTTGCCATCGCTGACCCAAAAAAACGCCCCAAGAGCCTTGCTGGCGAATTTTCCCCTGCGACAAGGTCCAATTCGTCTCCGAGAGTCGCTTTCATATTTACTGGGGTGAGCATCACCAGGTTTTGCTTCGCGACATCACTGACTATATGCAGCAAGGTGCACAATGGTATGCCATGGGTCGTGAACTCATTGCCAGATACGAGATTTTCAGAAACACCCTAGCGGAGGCAGGGAAATATTTGAAGACACTTGGTTGCCATTGGGATGTGCTGGGTATGTGACCAAGACACCAGATATACGCTGATTGGGATCCTAACGATGGTTTTAGACGAGATGAAAAAGGCGAAGTCTGAATCCAACGTCAACGATCCTACCTACGGACAGTCCCTTTGCACAATCGTTCAAATTGGGCTTGTGGATTTGCTTCGTAGTTGGAATGTTGTGCCATCCGCTGTCGTTGGCCATTCTTCTGGGGAGATAGCGGCCGCGTATGTCTACGACCACCAACCAGGTGGTATCTCACCTCGCTAACGAGTTACAACAGATATGCAGCGGGGGCTATATCAAAGAATTCTGCCTTGAAGGTTTCGTACTACAGGGGCCTCCTAGCTGGCAGACTGGGTGAAACCAGTAAATACAAAGGATCGATGCTTGCCGTTGGGCTCTCTGAAGCAGACATTCGAGCCTATTTAAACAAGCTTGAAGCATCATTTGGGTGTCTGCGACTAGTCGTTGCTTGTCTTAATAGTTCCAAGAGCCTGACAATATCTGGCGAGACTGAACAGATCGAAGCATTACATGACCTTCTTGAAAAGGACCAGGTATTCGCAAGGAAATTAATGGTCAATGTTGCATACCACTCCTTCCAGATGCAAGAGATAGCAAGTGCTTACGAAGCCGCCATTGGAAGCTTGGACACGCCCCTCCAGCGAACAGTGATACTTATGTTCTCTTCAGTCACGGGGGGATTGATTCACCGAGAAGAGCTAGCTACCCCAGGCTACTGGGTCAGAAACATGGTATCTCCAGTGCTGTTCGGCGATGCGTTGACAAGTCTGTCTTCCCAACCAGCTAACGTGCTGCGCAAGATTGACGGTAGCCATCGTCTTTCCGTGACTGTCAGTCATCTCGTGGAAATTGGACCACATGCTGCATTGCAGGGGCCTTGCAGAGATATCTTGAAAGCGGTTAAGAAAGACAAAGATATTACCTACATACCGTCGCTACGGCGCAATGTCTCTGCGGTGAAGTGCATTCTAGATTGTGTTGGGCGCTTGCATTGTGAGGGCTACGCGGTAGACCTGGGAGCTGTGAATTCGCCTGGTGGGACAGGACAGTCTGAAGGCCTTCAAGTCTTAGCTGATCTACCCGAATATCCGTTCGACCATTCCAAAACATATTGGCATGAGAGCAGACAGAGTAAGGGTTATCGCTTCCGGAAGACTGGCCGACTAGATCTGCTTGGAATTCCGGATGTCGATGGAAATCCAATGGAAGCGCATTGGAGGAATATCATCAGGGTATCAGAAATGCCGTGGGTTCAAGATCACAAAATTAACAACGCAACTTTGTATCCCGCTGCAGGAATGATGGTCATGGCGATTGAAGCGATCAAACAACTAGCCGAACCAAACCGAAATATCGCCGGGTTTACCATCAAAGATTGCAATTTTCTCTCACCGATACATATCCCCACTCACTCGGATGGGATTGAGACAAATATTCATGTTAAGCGAGTGAAGGATGGCAAATCTGACAGTTCAGGTTGGCATGACTTTCGAATCTGTTGCTACGACAAGGACACCTGGGTCGAGAATTGCACTGGTTCCATCCAAGTGAGCTATGAGTCCAACGAGTCAGGGATGAATACAAATGGTCGCGAGAATGCAGAATGGGACGCCTCTCTTATGAGGACTTACCAAGAGGCCGCGCGGTCATGTGCCGTGTCTGTTGATACAACGAAGTTTTACGAGGAACTGATCGAATATGGATATCAGTACGGTCCAGCTTTTGCCGCCATTACATCTTTGACTCGGAACAATGCTAGCAGCCAAGATATCGTCTCTACGATTCGCACATTCGTTGGAAACAGCGCAAAGGACTCGCAAGTCGTGCAGCCTCACACAATTCATCCTACTACGTTAGACGCTGTCATTCACATGATGACCGCAATGGTCATAGAAGTTGCAGGACAGGAAGAATCCGTCGCTGTTCCTACCCATATAGAAAAACTCTGGATATCCAACTCGGGAGGCCTGAGCTATCCGCATGCACACGCAATTAAGGCTTATGCCAACTCGGATGGTACAACTGTGACCGATTCTCGATACACGATGGTTGCGTTTGATGAGGGCCTCACCAAGTCCCTGCTGAATCTAGAAGGGTTAAGGGTTAATAATATCGCAAACTCAGCTGAGCGGAATCCTGAAGGTGATTTCCTTGCGGATAATCTTTGCCACCATGTTGAATGGAAGCCGGATATAGACCTTCTCAACAACGTTGAGACAAACGTTTTCTGCTCGAGGACTGAGCTGCAGAGCGATGAGCCAGTTGATGCTTTTACAGAACTCGATTTCCTTGTCTCGGCCTATGTGAGCAAGGTTCCTGCATCTGCTCTAGAGAAAGCGAAGATGATCGGCTCGCCGCACATGATAAAGTATGCAGAGTGGATAGCTAGACAGCAGAATATCTTAAATTCTGGCCAATCTGCTTTCAACTCACAAGCTTGGAGGACCCGCATGGAAGATGCATCCTTTATGAACTCCCTTCATAAGCGGCTTGAACAGGGAAGTAAACGAGGTCTACTGACGAGCATTGTCGGCAAGAACCTAATGCAGTTCGTATCTGGGGAGAGGGACCCAGTCAGTGTTCTTTTCGAAGGAAACTTGCTCCAAGACACTTATTTCGAGATGGTAAGTATCGTTATAATTTGGCTACAGTCAGGGAAACTTTTGGTAACAGTGTACACCAGGTCTTTGATCTTCCCAAGATAGGGCAAATGGCAAAGTACATTGACGCACTTGCCCACAAAAACCCAGCAATGAAATTCATAGAACTCGGCGCAGGAAGTGGAGCAATGACCGACTTCTGTATGAAGACACTGACTACAGATGATGATGGTCAAACAAAGCCATCTCGTTACAAACAATGGGACTTCACAGACCTATCGAGCTCTTTCTTTCCCCAAGCGCAAGACCTATTTGCAGCTCAAGGCGAGAAAATGCGATTCATGACCCTGGACATTGAGCAGGACCCAGTAATTCAAGGGTTCGAATGTGGCACGTACGATGTTGTTGTTGCGTTTCTTGTGAGTCTCAAATATTTGAAGGGGTTATGAAAGCGCTCTGACTCGTGAAACCAGGTCGTCCATGCCACAGAGAACTTGTCTGTTAGTCTCAAAAATGCTCGGAAGTTGCTAAAGCCGTGAGTCATTACTTTGACGAATTCCGGGTAGCTATGGTTTTCTAACAAAAAGCCAGAGGCGGAAAGTTCCTCTTATTTGAGATTACTAGGCTCGGTGCCATTCGGACCACCTTCGTCTTTGGACTTTTCGATGGATGGTGGCGAGGTAAGCATACTCTCACAAGTATTTGACCTCAACAATCGAAGATATGCTAATTGAATTAGGCCAAGAAACATATCGCACTATAAATCCCTGCGTAGATGAAACAAAATGGGACGAGCTGCTCAAAGAAGCTGGTTATTCGGGTTGCGACGTCGTCATCACCGATTACAATGACGAACGTTGTCATGAATGCAGTATGATTGTTTCAACTGCCGTTATTGAAGAGCCAACGCGCCCAAGTCAACCCTCAGTCAACATCATATTGAATCCACTGAGCCCCGTCCAATTGCAATTGGCGGACAAGTTTTCTGGGTTACTTCAAAATGCTGGAATGGATAACCTCACGCAACTTACATTCCAGGATTGCCTGACTAACCAAATAGCACCTGATGCGTTGAGCCTCTGTCTACTCGAAATCCAAGACAAGTTTCTTTATGATATAAATGAGTTTGATTTTATCAACTTCCGCGACCTCTTGACACATACGAGGAATCTGCTCTGGGTCAATGGAGGAGGCGGTCATCAGCCAAATCCAAAGTTCCGACTGATTGATGGACTCTTTCGGGTTATCAGTGATGAGAACCAGAGTACAAGATTGACCATTTTGTCCCTTGAACCTAGATCTACTGTGGAGCGTCAAGCACAACAGATCCTCAAGATAGCCACCTCTATTTTGGGAGACCTGGACAGGCACCTTGATACTGAGTATATCGAGATGGATGGAATGCTTCACGTTGGACGCTTGGTGCATGCAAGCTCCCTGAATCAGGAGGTTGCTACAAAGAAGCTTCCCCAGAAAACAGAGCCACGGACTTTTGGCGGAGATCTTCCCCTACGGCTTGAAGTGGGCACTCCGGGCTTGCTCAATACACTGCACTTTGTCGAAGACAAAAGGTTGCAGGCGACTCTGAAGCCGAATGAAATTGAAATTAGGTCCAAGGCAGTGGGGCTGAACTTCCGCGATGTACTGATCGCGCTGGGAAGACTGAACAGCAATACCCTCGGGGGCGAGTTTGCCGGTGAGATAACGCGAGTCGGAGACGAGTGCCACAAGTTCAAACCTGGTGACCGAGTGGTGGTGTACCATCCCAGCCACTATGCCAACTACGTCCGGGTGCGCGAAGACATGGCGGTTATAAAGATCCCCGGGGATTGGCTTTCATATGTGGATGCCGCTGCAATGCCAGTGACGTATGGCACGGCTTGGCTAACACTCAATCGGATTGCACGACTCCAGCGAGGGGAGTCAGTGCTGATCCATTCCGGCGCTGGGGGGACCGGACAGGCAGCAATTCGAATTGCCCAGTACATCGGAGCTACGATCTTTACTACCGTCTCCAGCGAGAGCAAAAAGCAGTTTCTGATGGATCAGTGCCATATTCCTAGCGAACACATCTTCTCAAGTCGAAACACGCTGTTTGCGAAGGGTATCCGGCGTCTGACCGGCAACAAAGGCGTGGACGTCGTGTTGAACTCATTGGCATCCGACGAGTTAATTGCCTCGTGGGAATCGATCGCACCCTACGGTCGTTTTGTGGAGATCGGTAAAAACGATATCCTTTCCAATTCAAAGCTTCCGATGGGACAGTTTGAAAAAAATGTCAGCTTCTCGGCGTTTGATCTAGCCGCGATGAGCGTGGACCGGCCGCAGCTAGTCATTTCTGCCTTGGGGGAGGTACTTGATCTCATAAAGGAGGGAAAACTTCCAGTTCCTCAGTCTGCACAGGTTTATAAAGTGGGTGATATTGAGCAAGCATTTCGGCAGATGCAAGGCGGGAAGAATATGGGCAAGGCAGTGATAGAATTGAGAGACGATGATCAGGTAGAGGTGAGTTCACACCCGATACAGTCTTCCAGTGCGCTTAACTAACTTTTGTAGGCTGTTATGGACACCAAGCCAACATACGCCTTTGATCCCAATGCAACCTACGTGATTGCCGGTGGTCTAGGTGGTCTTGGCCGGAGCATCGCGCGATGGTTGGTCGACCGCGGAGCCTGTAATCTGATCCTACTTTCTCGATCGGGTGAGAACAACCCATATGCCAGGGACTTTGTGGCCGGATTGAGGGAACAAGGCGCAAATGCAGTCACTCCCGCATGTGATATCGCAGATCGTGCATCTCTGACAGCTGTACTGGATTCTTGCGCCGCCCACATGCCGCCAATCAAAGGATGTATCCAGGCATCAATGGTTGTTAGCGTGCGTATCTTGTTCTTGTCTTACAATATCTGGGCTAACTGGAATAGAACTCTCATTTCGAGCAATTAACGCTCGACTCCTGGCGGGCCTCCACAGCGCCCAAAGCCCAAGGTTCATGGAACCTGCACGAACTGCTGCCACAAGGCCTTGACTTCTTCGTCCTCATGTCCTCCGTCGCAGGTATCACCGGGGCGCGGGGGGAATCCGGCTACGCATCAGGGAATACATTCAAAGACGGTCTTGCGCGATACCGAATTGGAATCGGCGAGAAAGCAATCTCACTAGACCTGGGCCTATTCCTCTCAGCAGGATTCTTCAAAGAAAACGAAGAAGCCCGCAAAAGGTTCCTAGCGAACTCAGTTCTGCACCCCATCACGGAGTCAGACCTACACGCCCTACTCGACATATACTGCAATCCAAACCTCACACACATCCCCATCGAAAAGAGCCAAGCCGTTGTCGGCATCCAGCCAAAAGTCCGCGAAATGGGCATGAACACAACCGAATGGATGCAGCGGCCCTTCTTCCGGCACCTGGCAGCACACGGATCATCGTCATCTAGCGCGACAAGTCCCTCCAACAGCACCAACTTCGCTTCTGTATTCGCAACCGCGAAGTCGCTCGACGAAGTAACAGCCATCCTAAAGCAGGAGATGCGATCCAAGCTCTCACGCATGCTGTCCGTATCTGGCGACGAGATCGACCTCGACAAGCCTATCCACCAGTACGGCGTGGACTCTTTAGCCGCCGTAGAGCTGCGGAATTGGTTCGGGCGCGAGTTGCGCGCGGATATCGCGATTTTCGATATCCTGGGCGGAGCTAGCATTGCGTCTGTTGTGGCGCTGGCTGTGGGGAAGAGCGATTACCGTCGGGGTTGATCTTTCTCCTTTTTAGATAGTTAGCTCATTATGTCTATTGCCTGCAGGTTCGTGGAGTGATCATTGATTGTGGTAATGATAGAATTATGATGTCCCTAACAGTATATAGTCACGAGATGGTGAATCATTGAGTCGGATCCATTTCTTATCTGATTAATCGACACATTGTCATTAAGATACCGTCATAGACTACTACCAAGACATTATTAGGCATTACCAGGCAGGTGCCTAAAAAAGGGTACCTAAACCTACTCCATCTTGATAGACACAGCAGAGATGACATTCTTTTTATCGGAAGTCTATATCATGACCCTTTCTGCATTCCATCAACCCCATGACTCAGACATCATATGACGATATCGACATGCATAAAATACCATTTTCAGGGTAAAAATTGAATTAAAAAAAAAGTAAAAAAAAATTAGAAATGGCAAAACAAGGAAGGCATGCACGTAGATACCTCTCTAGGTAGGTAGTAAATACACCTGGTAAATGTCACCAATAGGAAGGCGCTGACGCCAGCCGAAATGGAATGGAATGTCTCAGATCTCGATTGTCATTTTTTCATGTTTTTTTCTTTCTATACATTTGTTACTTTTTCTGTCTATTCTGGTTGGATTGTCATTCACCATTTTGCTTTATACTTTTATTTTGTATTTCGTATATATGCAAATATTGTCTTTTGTTTTTGCTCAAGACTCGTAAGTAGTGATGAGTTCAATGAGTTCAACTTTTCGTACTACCAAAAATAAAAATAAAAAATAAAAAGAAAAAGGGCCCTAGTTCTTGGACATCTCTCTAGAGAAGTGAAAAAAACGCAGTGTAGAAGTAAACAAACCAATTCTTCTAACTCACTTTCTGATATATATAAAAATTCGACATGAGATAGCAAGAGCTATGGTATCACCGGGCAAACTGTACAACACAACACAACACAACACAACACCATTCACATAACAACAACACTTACTCAAGGGGCAAAAAAGGCAAGAAAGAAAGGAAGAAAGGAAGGAGAGAAGGAAGGAAGAAAAGAAAGAAGAAAAGAAGGTGTTCGAAAATCTACCACGAAAACGTCTCCTCATACAAATCCACCGTCGTCTGTCCCTGCTTACTCCTCACCGTCCTCCGCACATCATCACCCATACCCCCGGGGCCGCAAACACTAACGGCCATCGCACCGACCTGCTGCGCCGCCTCGTCTTCGACGATCTCGCCAAAACAAGGCTTTCCCAGCGTGATGGTGAGTGGCACTGTGGACGGGACGGCTTCCGCCCAGGGGCTTTTGTCGGATGTGTTATCTTTTTCGTCGTCGGGGGAGGAGGCGCCTTTCGTGGTGAGGAAGATGTGAATGGAGAGGGAGAAGTCTAGATCGAGGAATTCAAAGTAGGAGTGCTCTTTTTGGTCGGTGGGGACTTGAATTACGGGGTGGTTGAGGAGGAAGGTCATCCAGGGTTGGATCCAGGTCAGATGATCTGTTTTCTGTTAGTTAGGGCTCTGGGGCTGATTGTTGTATGGGGTATAGGAGGGGATGGGAAGGGGAGGGGAAGGATACCTGGACTTCGCACGACCCAGACTAAACTCACGCGTCGTACGGCGATAGCTCGCGCTGCGATGCCGTTGATGAACTCGTGTATGTACGACATTGGGTGCGTGATTCCGATACCTCCCGCTATGAGTAGAACCGTTCCATACGAGGAGAGGGAATGCAGCCCGCCTGAGCAGTCAAGTCAGCGTCAACATCCGTTGGTGGTTTTTTCCAGGGAAATCTTACCGAAGGGCCCCTCGGCCAGCGCAGTAGCACTGAACCGGCCCTCTTCCACTTTGTTAACCTTCCCAAGTAACTTGTTGGTGAATCCATCGCGCCTCTTAATCAAGAACGACATGGTCGTCCGCTCCGTTGGGTCCAATAACAAATTGAACGAGTCGCCGGAAGTGCGTTTTTCGTCGGTGCTCATCGGCTCGGACGAAGTCCATGCTACTGAAAACGGATGGGACGTCCATAGCCCCAGCGACGGGATGTAGAGGTACATGTACTGGCCAGCTCGGAAATTCCACGAGCGTGCCATGACCACGTCAACGCGGGCAACGTCGCCAGGAAGAAGTTCTACAGTGGCCGTGGTCCGGCGTTTGCTGAAATTGCGCCAGATGACGCTGCCCAGTCGTCCCGCTCTCTGTTCCCATCAGCATTTTTCGACCCCTGCTGTGAAATTTCAAGGAAAAATCTTGAGGGGAGCTCACATCTAATCCCCACAAGATCAACGTCACCAGCAGGACCTTCTGCATGGCCAGGTTCTGCAGGTGGTACCACAATGCCACGAACGCCAAGATCGCTAATATGATGTGGAAATGCAGGAACGCCTCGTACCAGGCGTGGCGGATCGGAGACAGCGATTGGAAGAAGATCACGACAAAAGATATAAGAGCCTTGTTTCACGGTGAGAAATAGGTAAATTCAACGGCAGCGTATCACTCACAATCAATCCACATATGAAGAATGGTTTGGTCCACAAAATATGCGTAACCTCGGCCATGGTCACTGTCTTGTCAGTATGCAAGCGCGAAATATGATAGGATGTAAGAATGGAGAGCGGAAACTCACTTTCTTTGGCTTCCCCCGCTACCACACAACTCATATGTACAATTGCGCCGACAACCATGACCCGTCCAACCCACCGGTGCAATAAGTTAAATGTATCGAACGGCACCCCCAGCAGCCAGATCAGAGGATTGTTTCGGCCGGCGGTTAGAACCAGCGCCGGAGAGTTCATGATAGCCAGGTGGCCCGCTGCATACTTCAGCTGGAACATCTTCTCCTTGTAAATCTGCCACCAGTCGATGAGAGCGACGATGAAGATGAGGTTCAACGCTACGTATCCCGCCAACAGAGCCGTCTCAAGCCGCAGCGGCAGAGCGCCCATGTGAAACCGACCCAGCAGTCGAAACTCGCGGCTGTGGCGCGTGGACAGCAGCGGCGCGTAGAAGACATGCTTCTTGAGGCTGGCCGCCAGCTGGTTGGGCCGGACGAATCGCGTTTGATCGTTCTTCTGCAGGGCCTCTTTGAGTCGGCAGCGGTGGTGGTATTGTATGCAGGCGCGGCCGATAAAGAATAGCACGAGCACTCCGCCGAGGCAATATAGCGGGACGCCCAGAGCTGCGTTCACCGGGGGGTGGTCGGCTTTAGTGTGTATCTGCCCCGATGGCAGAAGATCGACTCCCATTTTCTTGAACCTGAGAAGTGCGTCGAACTCCGCATGCGACAGGGAGGTCGAACGAGAAGCAGCAGGCTGCTGCACATCAGATCTCTCCGTTCAGCGACAACAGCTTAGGAGTCGACTGGAAATTCCCCAATATAACGTCGTACAGGCGGCAAGCAATGATAGTTGACGGTTTTGTCAAGTATATGGTGCAGGGGTAAGAAGCTGGTAGGGCTGCGGGTCTGCCTTTTGACAGACTTGGACGATGCCGTCATCCATCCTTTTTTGCAGCCCGACACAGGCTGTCACTTTCCTTCCCAATTACTGAAATTGGACTGGGTCGGCTTCATGTCAGGCTTTTTTTCCCGCTGTTCCCTTGTGATGAGAGCGGAGCCGAGAGATCGGCTGCAACCAACAGGAATGTGGTGGCATGGTTGAAGAATGTAAGCGTGCACCCAGACAGCCTTTCACAGGGTCTTCCAGACGGCACCACGGCTAACCACATCTCGTTGGTGTGGAACTCCCCAGGTTCATGATACAATCGAGTGCAACTCTTAGATAGCCTTTCGACCCATAGCCATCATTGGACGGTGTTAACCCACCCAGGTAAATTCTGACTGGGGACACCGAGGTACAACAAAAGAAAGTATCGCCGGAAGCGGCATAAAAACCGTTTGGCCTCCCATTCGGAGCTACTCGGCCGTTGGGAATGCTTCTTCGCCCCACAGCAGTCACCCGTAGACAACCTTGATCTCGTGGGCTTGCTATGGCTTCACGATGACGTTTAAATAGAGGGTATATATATAAATTCGTAGAAAAATTGGAGATTCTCGTCATCCGGTATCAACCAGGCGGGAGATTTCTCCCCAGCTGAGAGCATGATCAATCAGCCTATTCATCCGCGCCGGTCACAACATACCGCGAGTAAAGAACCATAGATCACTCGCCCCTCAGTACGAACCAGTCGCTCGACCGATTGCCCAAAAGAGCAGAGTGTCAAAATGAGGCTCCACAGGGGTTGCGCAAGCCAGTAGGAGACGGCATATGAACGTGTCGGGCGTGCCGAACGATCGATATCGTCACAATGGGAAGTAAGATGTCAAATATCAAGGGCCAGTGCAACGTCGACGTAATTAAGTTCTTTCAATGTCTGGTTTATCTGAGACAATGGACTCTCTGCTTGTTTGTATTATGCGTAACTGCCGAAGGTCGAGTACAGACGTCAGACCTCTGGCACATCCGCAGTCCTTCCAGAAACGGTGACACATTGCCAGGGGGCTGGGTGGTGTCCCGGGGATTTCCGAATCCACACCAGCCACGAGGCGTAGGTGGGAATAGTGGCACAGTAGAAAAGGAAGAAGATCAAGATTGCATTGAAAATTGAAAAGAGAAGGCCATGGGTGTTTGCGCCGCGGTCTAGACCTTTCAGCTGGCTTGGTCGCTGCATGCAGTAGTCAACGTGAAACATTGTTCATGAATTGGGAGGGGCTCAAACAAAGGCTGCTGTTCCTGTCAGTTGTGATACCACCTTGCGCTTGCCCCACAAGCAACTCAAGGACCAGATCAAAGGGCACAGGGTTAGACATGATTTAAATGGGACAACAAGCAAGGCATACGAGATTCACAGGCACCGACAACATGAAGACAATATCAAGACCTCATTCATAAAATTGGAGGGAAGATACAAATATGGGCAACACCGCCAGCCTGAACGCCTGAGATAACAGCAAACCAGGATAGGAAGAAAACAATCAATCTCCCATGACTATCCCGCCGCCCGCCCCCGAGCAAATTATTAGTCCTCCCTGGATGGTGAGTCTAGACCCTCTCTAGAATAATGTATGGAATATGAAGAAATTTCACCGCGATAGGAAGAATTTTCTATGAGGTGATACCACCTTCCACCTTCGGGCCTATTGTAGGGTCTTCGGTGCCGAGACTCCCATAACCAGTGTCATCGCTAGCTGAATATCCTAAGCTAGAGCGACGGTGGGAATGGCCCTGCGTCGCATTTTCCTTTTCTGCCACACGGCCTTTGGCGCGTCGAGTGGCCTTTCTTTTCTTCTTGTCCCTGCTCCGCTTGCTCTTCGTTCGCGTGTTTTGAATACACATATAGCTAGCAACGTCAACTCCCGCGCCGACACACAGCTCCGTGCATTCGGTCTCAATGATCTTCACGAGCTTGGGTGTGAACCCGTAGAAGGCCGGATTATATGCGTTACGGGCCCAGTACATAAGTTCAGATGCCACGCGGCCGAGGTGGGGGATAGCTTGGCAAGATCCGTGGGAGCGAGGTAGCACCCCGGTCAAGGCTTCGTCGCCAGAGCTAGCCTTGGATGACAACGGGGTGGAAATCCTAGACGAGGTGGTAGACCCTGACGATTCGGAGGAGGAAAGATAATCCGTGTCGGAGGCCAGCACGTGGAGGAGGTGGTAGACCGCTCCGAATCCGAGCAAGGTTAGCTCAACGGGATCCAGGGGCAGGCGGTTGAATCTGGAAATTGCCTTTTGCATGGTGAAAGAAGACGGCAGAGGGGTGCCGCCATTGGTCCGGGCGGTGAAGATGGCAGCGATCATCGCGCAGCGGACGGCAATGGAGATCTCCTCCCGCACAGAAACCGGGAGTGACGAGTCGAGGAAGTTCGATGACGTGTTGTGGATGTCGTTGCCGTTGTCCTTGGGCAGAGCCGCAAGAACAGCGCCGATGTTGGCTATCCGATCGTGCTCGAAGAACACGGCCATCATGACAAGAGCCCGCGTATGGGCGGCAGACGGTTGCGGTGCCACCTGAAGCGCGAGATTGATTTTGTTCTTGAACAGATCGCGGCTTTCCTTGGCCTCGGGCGTACCCGAGCTAGCCTCGAAGTAGTTCAGTAGAGCGCGCTGCAACAGATGACTGGACCACCAGGCAGCCAGGGCATCCAAAGAGGATTGGATAGCGGGATCCTCTTCCACCACGTCCAACAGCGCCTCGTCGTCATCGATCCCCTCTTGGGTGGGCCGGTTCCAGGTAAGGTTGGCCGCCCGCCCGATTATGCTGTCGGTCATAACCTCCTCGCTGTCGATCTTCAACAGGGCGGCTAAATAACCCGGCAGGGCATCGGGGTGGTCATTGGAAAGCACATCGTTCATCCGGCGGGCCAGGTCCCACTGATACCGTGCGAGGGTTCGGGCCACGTCATTGGATATGTGGAAGGTCCAGGACCCTGGGTCCCCGACCCGCCACATCAAGATTCGACAATGCAACGCTTTCAGCATCATCCGCATGGGACTCCGGGGCAAGGTTCCAGCGGCGAAGATGGTCAGAACCAATCGGCTCTTACTGACCTCGGCATCACCACCGGCCAGTTGCGCATCGATGGCGATGTCCCACGTCTTAACCCGGCCCCTCTCGTCCTCCTCGGTGACCCCGGTCGCCCATGAGTAGAGATTCCACCCCATTAGGCACCGGAGGACGTATTCAAAACATCGAGACGTGACGACATACCATTCGTGGAAGAATCGGTGGCGGGGAACTCCGACTTGCTGAATACTCGTCAGCCAAGCCTGCCGTCGGAAGTTGGTCGAAGACAGTCGGGTCGTCTCTGGCTTGGACGACGTCAACGGTGACGCATCTGGGCCTGAGTTGAACAAATACACAAAAACGACGAACGCACTCCCAACGACCAGCACGGCGAGAAGGAGGAAATGGGCGATCGCTCGGACATGCCATGAATGCCAGGATGTTCGGACCACGGCTTCCCAATACGCCAACGAGGGTGGCTGCATGTTGTAAAGCCAGTTCATAGGGAGAGCCAACAGGCCCTTCGCCGTCGAGTCCGTTTCTTTCTGGGAACTCATGCCCTCGACGACCATCAGCCCAGCGAGAGCCCCAAGCATGTACTTGTTGGGATAGTGGGACCGTCGGCGACCGCCACCGCACTGTGTGCGATTAGTACTGGAGCTGGGGTATTGGATGTATGATTGAGAAAATGCATTATCGGCCGGGGCCTCCGCTCGCATTCGCTTAAAAGCGTCTGGGACTTTCATCAATCCTTCGGGTGGGTGGGAAGAAGCACTGGGAGAATGCTCGCGAGGCGAGTCCTCGGCGTGGGAGAAAACGCTCGGGGACGAACTGGCACCCGACTCGGTCGATACCGTACAGTTGCTCGGGGATGATACAGAGGCCGCAGACGTCATGCTCTGGTCGTTGGCCTTGTCGACCTGGCGGAGTCGATTTTTCAGGGCGACATTTTCCTCTTCCAACCGCCTGTTGCGAATCTCCAGGTGTCGGATGTACTCGGTGGCCTTGGACAGAATAGAGGCCTTGTTCAGCTTGTTTGCCGGAGTGACTCCTTCTCCGTCGTCGTCATCCACCAGAGCTCCACTACCTTTTGACGCCCGCAAGCTGGGGACGCTGTCTCTCAACTCGGAAATCTTGTCGTTCAAATTGGCGCGGTATCTCTTCTCGATGACATTGTGGGCTCGCTTCTTGGCCGGCATCTTTTTGCCATTCGGTAGCACGCCGCTCACAGTCGATCCGTCATCGTCGCTCCCAGTCTTGCGTTTACGACTGGCACCTTCTGACAATAGGGGCGAACCGATCGTGGACGGGATCCTGAAGCCGTCATTGAAGGTCGTCTCTGGGGGACCAGCCCCCTGATCACGTCCCAGCAGGCCGTCAAACGGCGGATTTGAGAAATCCAGCGATAGATCGGGAGAGAACTCTGCGGATGCAAAGGTATCGAAATTCGGGGGTGCGGGGCAGTCGTTGTTACTTTGCGGGGTGAAGGGGAGATCCAAGGGCGATTGGGTGGGCGGGACCTTGTGTTCCTGGGTTCCCGGGTCGTCCCATCTCATCCACTGAGTCCAATCCTGGACGACGTCGTCAGGGGTGGATTGGGGAAAGCCTGCGGTGTCCGATTGCGACTTTCTCTTCCCCGACCCCTGGAGAGGGGAGAATAGCTGGAAGTCGCTTCCCATGTCGGGCGCAGCCATACTATCCAACCGCGTAGGGCTGGACCATCAGTCGAGATGATGTTGTGGGATGTCGCGGTCAACTCCAGACAAGAAGACAATGATTCGGTCCGGAGCGATCGTGTCTAGCAAAATCAATAACAGGTCCTGCAGAGAGCGAGATCAGGATGGGTAGTGGTGTTGAGGTTGATGATGGTTTGAGGTTGAGGATGTTTATCAGATGCAGGAGATGCATACCTGACGTCGAAAAGCAAGTCGGGACCCGGTAATGTGCGGGTTTAAGTTCCAATGCAGTTGAAGATCAGCCAGAAGCCAACGCGCTAACACACCTAAGTCCAACTGTGGAGACGAATGGGGCGGATGGCGAGCCGCCAGCGACCACTGGACGATGTTTCTCTGGGGTGGCGAGGCGAAAATTGAGGCGATTGTCTATCATCAACAAACCATTAGAATAACAGACAGTAGTGTAGTAGAGTAAGAAGAAGAAGAAGACAGTTGGAGGTCGGCCTAGCTGATGTTTTTCCGCCCCTCCAAACAGAAAAAGCCACTATCAAGACCGTTGGGCGAAAGGTTGAGTACGCGGCCAGGGACAAGGCGCCATGGTTCGCGCTGGTTCACATGGGATGGGGACGGGAGGAACCCACAGCTGATTGATCAATTGATTGATGGGATAGACTGATTTGATAGGAACAGTCTATACTCCTGAATAGTGCCTGAGATGGTGTATCCAATGAACGATCATGACCGGGTTGATGATATGTGTTTGAAACCGCGAGAGAGCAACATGGTGAACAGGAGAGGACAGACAAACAGAGCAATCGATCAGCCCACTCTGTATAATTCGATTTCTAGGTTGACAAGAAAGACCAGAAGGAAACCTTAAGGTTCAGGCCTTGGCGTGGCATGATCGCGGGATGCGGTGCTTCCGGCAAGCCGACTAGTGGTATTGGATTTCCAGGGTGGTAATTTATGGGTCTGGGGGCCAATGGGCGTCCGTATTATCACGTGATTCTGTACGGGATGGCTTCGTGCTGTATTGATACGCCTGCGCTCCCTCAGGCAGTCAGGCAGAATGACATCACAACATCCATTTCTGAAACAATGCTGACCTTTCTATCTTTGGAGGCAGATCTGGCCTCGACCAGGCATGGTGAATCCTCAGGGGAAATGATAGACTGTATCCTGATGGTTCACGGCACATCCTCCGTAGCCATCACGTTGATCTACTCCCACACCCCTCGCAGCCCCCACACATCCACACTCACCCGACTCCCCGCCTCCAGTTCCCCAGCAGAAACATCCAGTATATCTAGCGGTGAAGTCGGAAAAAACGACATGGTCCCACTGCCGCTCCCATCCTCCAGGAAGACCTCGAAAACAGAGCGATCGACAACCGCGGAGAAGGAGAATGAACTGTTCTCGATAGACACTTCAGTCCGAAACTCAGACGTAAAGTTGCCGTGATCCTGGGTGGTAAAGAGACGCGCACCAGCACGGCTAATCCAGAAGCGGTTTTGGTCCAATCGCAACCCTCCATCAAGAGACTCCCCCGACGCGGAGGAACTGATCTGGAAAGCGACCTCTCCGACCGGGCTCAGGGGGTTGATTCCCTCGATCGCCACCGCCAAGTAGACAGCCTTGGACGACACATGGGAGAAGTCCACTGTCATGCCATCATTCCCGGACCGTAGATCCCAACTCCCGAGCTGCGCCCCTCTCACAGGGGCGAGACCATCAGCAGGGCTATGGGTCACGACCCAGGACCCGTCGACCTGGGTCAGTGTGTGTGTCCTAGGCAACGTCGCGGCACTCCTCCACCCCTCGGTCTCCCCCGTCGGAACCTCCTCCGTATAATCCCAGTTACTCGCCCAGCCAATCGACACGGGGGGGTGTCCAGCGGGGATTCCCGAGAACCACTGCGCGGCGTAGTTGTCCTTCGCAAAATCGTACAGCGGCGCGTGCGGTGTCTCGGACTCGAAATGGGTGCCGTTGAAATCGCCCACCACGTAGAACGTGCCTGATCCGCCCAGTGGTGCCCCGGGGTTGACTGAGATGAATAGCACATGTTTCTTTCCCTTGTGCGCGACAGCTTGGTTAACGGAGAATTCGACCAAGTTCGGACACTCGAATTCCACCCCAGGCAGACCAGCCTGCGTGAAATTTGAAGCATGTTCCCATTCCTTCAAATTCGACGAAGTGTAAAACCCAATGACCCTGTCCGCCGCATACGCGATAGCCATAACCCATCGCTGCGTGTCATGATGCCATGTCACTTGGGGGTCACGAAAGTCCTTCGACGCGCTATCGATAACAGGGTTGCCCGCATACTTGGTAAACGTGTACCCGCCATCCCTGGAATAGGCGATATGCTGGGTCTCCTTGTTGGGTGTATCCACAGTGTAGATAGCCACAACCCCATCCTCCTGGTCTGGAAAAAACCCCGACGTGTTATCAGCGTCGACCACGGCCGAGCCGGAGAATATATACTCGTCAGACTCTGCGGGAGAGATGGCGATGGGCTGGTTGGTCCAATGGTAGAGGTCTGGGCTCGTGGCATGACCCCAGTGTTGATTTCCGGCGACTGGCTCGGAGGGATTGTCTGATGGCGTCAGCTTGTGTGTGTAATATAGCAGCGGTAGTATACGTACACTGGTAGTACAGGTGGTATGTTCCGCTGCGGTCATCGTAGAACAGGCCATTGGGGTCATTCATGAAGTTGACAGGGGGGGAGAAGTGCACTTGAGGCCGTAGTGGCCCTGTATAATCCGCTGCCTGGGCGGCTGCCACGAAACACATTATCCACGGTGGAATTCGCATCTTGAATCTGCAGTTTTGGGGACATGTACCTCTCTTAATTATCCAGAAAGAGACCCAAGAGGGAGATATATATACTCGATTTATGCGCCAACCGGGAACTACCATCGGAACGCCAACAAACACCCCCACAAATCTCAGCAGCGCACATGAACTTTCTCCCCACTGTTGAATTTTCTCCACGATGTCGCGATCTGAAAACCCCGCGAGCAGGGATAGTTCTAACTTTCGGTGGTTCTTCGGGTGTTTCTCCGCGTGTGGAGAATGGACTATACGCTTGCGGAGATCTCAGTGTCATCTCGGCCGTTTGCCGAATACAGTCAATATAGAGTACCTATATTCATAATTAGAGATTTTATAAGGGAATCAGGACTATACTGGAAGAAGACTGGTCTCCTGCTAGATGATACAGAAATTTCAGTAGGTAAACGCTAATTTGATGGGCTTATATAGATAGATCCATCGAATAGCATTGAATATATATAGTTGGTATCACTTACCCCTCAACAAATGTCCAAATGAAACAGTGAATTCTTGGCAATATTGATTAACTTTACAAAGGTACAATATGGTAGAAAGATGGTTCCTCATGTCCAGATGCAATCAAAACACTCAACCCTACTTTACAGTCAGGTGGACGAAGGACATGCATGCACCCTCACCATAGATAATGGAAAACACCAGGTGATACACCTTAATACTTCCATAGATGACGACGCAATATAAATCATCCCTCGGACGCATTCCCAGAGCGATACCATCCAACCCCCTACTCACCGAGTAGACGAGAATTCTATGGGGAAAAAAGGCAAAGCAAAGCCTACAGAGGGCATAAAGATCTCTATTTTAATTCACAGACACCAAGAAAATCTACAACGCCTTCTCAACCCCAAACAACACATCCATCCCCGCCCTCACCCCCTTCTTCACAGCCTCACTAGGCTCCTCATACGGCGCCCGCGGCCTCAACTTCTCCTCAGCCCCCTCAATCCCCGCCAACGGCGCCACATAAACAGCAGCCGCATACTTCGTCGACGCAATGCCACTCTTAATCGGGCTCTCGGCAAGTGCCGCTTTCCTCTGCAACTCAACCGCTTCCTTAACTTTGCCCTCCTCATAAAGCGCAAACACACGCGCCGCCGTGCGCGGGAAGACATTCGCAAACGCGGCAATGCAGCCCGCCGAGCCGGCCGCGAGCCCGCCGACCAAAAAGTCCGACTGGCCGCCGTACACGGCGAATTCGTTCCGGTCAAATGTAGCAGCTAGACGAGTGATCTTGCCGACAGAGCCGCATGTTAGCTTGACGCCGACGACGTTGGACTGGCCGTCACCGCGGCGGGATTTGTCCTCTCGCACGATAGCGGTTATCGTCTCCGAGTCCATGTCGACGCCGTTGCACACGCCCGGGAAGTTGTACAATACAACAGGGAGGGGGCTTTTAGCTGCGACTTCTGCAAAGAAACGCTTCACGACAGCTGGGGTAGTCGCCTTGCCGAAGTACGCAGGCGGGAGGATGAGGAGGTAGTTTGCGCCTGCTGCTGCAGCGTCCGCGGCGAGCTCGAGTGTCTGCTTGGTGGAGTGGGCGCCTGCGCCGGCCATGAGGGGGAAGTTGGGCCCGACTGCATCGCGGGCGGCGGCTATGACTTGGGTGCGTTCTTCGCGGGTGAGGAGGAAGGCTTCGGAGTTGGTGCCGTGGATGACGAGGCCGGTGAGGCCGGTTTTGGAGAGGTAGGTGAAGTATTTCTTTTGAGAGGGGAGGTCGAGGGTGTCGGTTTGGGGGTCGAAGAAGGTTACTGCGGGGCACCAGACGCCTGGTTGGGGGATGCGGGGGATGGGGTTTGCTTCGGAGCCCATGGTTCTGTCTCTAGGGTCTTTTGCTTGTTTATCGGGATAGGGATAGGGTGTGTGTATGGTCAATGGATTGCAGTAGGGAAAGACTTATACTGCTTCTTCTTTTACAGCAGCATACACATTATATAGTTCGGGCAGAGCGGGGCAACAACGAAGGAAAAGAAGCCGCTCGGGACGCTGGACCGAAAAGGGTCTTGCGCATCGGACGTGCCCCGATTGGGGATTTCGGACTGGGAACCCGAGGTAATTATTTTATAATAAGTGAATATGGTAATGCCTTGACTGTTCATTGCTATCACTAAAGCTAAGCTGTAACACAGAGCACACAGCACCACTTGAACAAGCCATCCTCCATAAGGTTATCAATGAAGGTTATCAATGCTGTACAGTATTAGCACACGTCTACAGCTCGAGAGAAGCACATACCGTGATATCCTCCCATTTCTCCCAACCTCGTCCACGGACCTCCGCCAGCTCTTCAGTCGTGTACTGACGGCCGGTGGTAAAGTAGCCCGCGTTGATCTTCGCGTCGATTTCGACCCGCGAGTCGTCTGGGATCATATCTTCCGGAATCGGCACACGTTCGATGATGGGAATCCCAGACTGCACGATGGCGTCGTGCTTCATGTTGGACATGGACAGCATGCGGTCGATCTTCTTGATGCCCAACCAGTGCAGGATGTCGGGCATCAGCGCTTGGAAGCGCATCTGTGAGAGTCAGCGGTCAAATATCATCTGATCGAAGCCGATAAACAAGAGAAGACTATACATCTCTCACGCCCGCAATATTCTCCGTCCGCGTGAAGTACTTGTCGGCAGTGTCCCCGCCGCGCTTGCGAGCATTGTACACCAAGTACTTGATCACCTCGCCCAGAGCGCGCCCCTCCTTGCGAAAGTAGATCACAACGCCGCTCCCCCCATTCTGCGCTTCGCGGATAGCCTCGCGGATTCCAAACGCCAAATAAGGTCGACACGTGCAGATATCAGACTGAAAGACATCGCTGCCATTGCACTCATCATGGATCCGCACCGCCAGCTTGACATTCTCGTCCGACACGCGCTCCGGCGGCCCAAAGATGTACACCGTCAGCCCACCGATCGGCGGAAGAAAAACCTTGAGATCAGGCCGGGTGATCAGCTCCGGATAGCTCCCCCCAGTGTGCTCAAACAGCGTCCGCCGGAGTGTGCCCTCATCGACGCCGAACCGATCCGCCACACCAGGAAGATACCACACCGGCTCAACGGCCACCTTAGTAACACGCACGTCTCCCCCAGAATTCACCACAATCGTCCCATCAACGTCAAGCATCCCATCCCGCACCGCCTCGCCTATCTCCGCCAACTTCATATTCGCACGCGTCACGGCCATTGTCGGCCGAATATCCCACCCGGCATCCAGCTGCTCCCGGAACTGATTGACAACGTCATGCCCGTAGGGATCCATCGACACGATCTTCGTCTTATCCGCCCAGGCCGACTGCCAGGCAAAGTTAAACGTCGGCTCGCTGTTGCGGAAGTCCGGGCGGAAATCAGGCTCCAGGTCGCCGGCGGCGATGGCGAGCGCATTGTAAATACTGTAGCTGCCACCGTGGGCGCCCATCGCATTGCGTCGCTTCAAGAGGGCATTGCTGCGCGAGACGATGACAGGGCCCCTCGCCTGGGCATCTTTGGCGCCCCAGGTGAGGGGAACGGGGTCGATGCCGCTTTGTCCCGGATATGTCGTCAACTATCACATTGGTACCATGCTGTCAGAGCCCTGCCATCCGCATCCATCCATCTCAAAGACTACTCACCACAATATGCTTGCTATACCGCGACGCGGAAGAAGCAGCGGGAGATTGAACCGCAGCAGGAGCGGCATCAGCCATATTACCGTCAGCCGGGGTATCTTTCTCCACCATTGTAGACGATAGAAAGCTAATAGCCTATGAGAAAAAGCCCGAGTACCGACTCAACAATAGCAGTAGTATTGAAATAAAATGAGGTTTGAAAGAAAGAAGAAAACAGACAAAGATATACAAAGCAAGAGAAATAAAGGCGGCGGGGCACAAAGGTAACAGTAATGCAGTGACAGCAGCTGCATGTGACCTCATGGCAGCAATCGTGCCCAAGGGAGGTGAGGCGGACGCGGTCAACCAGAGCCATTCATTCTCACCGTCAACCTTACTAACTCTGGTGCAGGACCTTACTCTCCTATCGGTTGGGCTTTTTGCGGCAGTCTACCGGAGATAAGTGATAGAATAAGGCACAAATCAATACTGATGATCCAATGTGGCAATTCGTATCGCGTAGCTAAGCTATCTACAGAACCATATCATCCTTCTTGCCAGAGTGGAGAAACCGTTTCACCCCAGGTACACACAGCTTGCCTATGAGGTAATCCGTCCTGTCTCCCGAGTATCTGTAATAGGATTTATGGGACGCACCAATGAATGAATGCGTGTCTAGACTTGGCACTGACAGCTCAGCTCAGCTATTACTCACACTCCATATAGCTACCTTAGCTGTATAGCTAGAGTGGACCTCATGACTAAGGCAAGTACATTGAAACTGGTATCTAACAATAAGTATCTCGAGTGACTTTTTGTCGAAAAGTGAAATCTCATAAAGTCTTCATGCGTGAAAAAACTGGATCGCCATCGCGAAACTCTGCGTCTTCCCCTCCCAACCCCCCCCCGTGGGAGGGATTCCAATCGTCGAGAACAATACACATGCACGCTCCACATGATGCGATTCGGTCGGGGTGATCTATCTTATCGCCCGAAGGTTCCCTGGGCCCGGGTAGTTTTGATAGTCTTCTTGATGATGTCTTCCACCTCGTCCCAGTCCTTGGTGTCAATGCGCTGGATGGTGGTGTTGAAGTATTGTTGGATCTGGTTGAGCATGTTCCACTCGTCGCGGCTGGAGACGAAGGAGATGGAGACACCCACACGGCCAAATCGTCCGGTACGACCGATACGGTGGAGGTAGGTCTGGAAGTCGGCCTGGCGTTCACGGCGTCCGGGTTGATGGATCTCGGGGATGTCCTGTAGAGAGAAGTGTTAGGTTGACTTCCGTGCCGAATCGTTGGTGGAGTCTTACGTAGTTGATGACCATGGAGACCGTGGAGACATCGATTCCTCGAGCCAGCACGTTTGTCGTAATTAGCACCTTGGCTTGGCCGGCTCGGAACTGATCGATGACAGCGTCACGCTGCGAACCCTCGATACCACCGGTCAAGGAGGCAACGGTGTGTCCTTCTGCGACCATGCGCTTCTCGATTTCTTGCGCAGACGCACGAGTCTTATACGGGTCAGAAATACAATATACGTGGGTGGGGTAAGGGAGCAAACCTTGACGAAAATGATCGAAGAGCCGACGGTAAGTAACCCGTACAGCTGCACAAGGTTGCGATATTTGTCCTCATCGTCGGAGCAGTCGAGGTACAGCTGTTTGATGCCCTCGACTGTGAGTTCTTCGTGCTGGAGCGTGATTTCGTTCGCGTCAGGGGCGAATTTCGAGGCATATTGGTGGACGTGCTCGGGAAATGTGGCGGAGAAGAGGACGACTTGGATGGTGCGTGGTAACAGGCTAGGAGCGCTTAGTCTACCAATTCCCACACCAGGATGGACGAAACTTACCCCTTGACACGAATACACTGGTCGCCCAGGCCTTGCTGGTCGAGCATGTTATCGGCCTCATCCAGCACCAGAACCTTCAGTCCACTGGCCACCATGATGCGCTTCTTAATCATATCCATGACGGTCCCGGGGGTACCGACGACAACGGAGCACTCAAGCTTCCGCGGGCGGCTATCACTGTCTGCAGGCACCGCGGTGCCGATAATGAGGTTTTCGAGGAACTGTCCCATGACCTGGATGACCCCAACGATCTGGCGCGCCAGTTCGCGAGTCGGGGCCAAGATCAGAGCCTGGGGGGTCTTTTGCGCTTTCTCCGAGGTCAGGTCCAAGCGGCTCAAAATATTCAGAACGAATGCAGCGGTCTTTCCGGTACCAGACTGCGACTGGCCGACCAGGTTCTTGGGCGGGTTGCTCAGGAGCAGCGGCAGGGCACGTTCTTGGATCTTCGAAGGCTTGCGGAAGTTCATCGCCGACAGTCCCTTCAGGATGCGAGGGTCGCTGTTCATCGCGGTTACGTCAGATTGCTGTTGTGGTTGAAGCCTCGCAGGTGACTCACATTCCAAGGTCCTCGAAGTTTTTGACGGAAAAGAGAGGGTTGTTGGGATCCGCCTGGAGATCGCTCAGTTTGACTTCGACCGTGTAGTCCGGTTCCTGCAGGTCAGACCCGCCGAGTTCAGCGGGGGCGCCATCGGTCTGGTCAGCCTCGCCGGACTTCTCAGCATCTTCTATTTGTTGGACGATTAGCGATTTGCGATGCGAAAGAGATCGAAGGCGCAATCGATTCATGACCGGACGTTCGTACCTGCGGGCTGGGCTTCGGACTGAGCTTCAGGTTTGGTTTCAGGCTGGGTTTCATCAGGCTTGGAGATGCGGTCAGCAAGAGAGCCTGCCGCAGGAGCCTCCGATGCTTGCTCCGATGCCATCGTAGAAGCTTTGACGGGGGGAAAGTGTGGCGTTATGATTGGTAGAGGATTGAAGGCGTAGGAGGGCCGTCAAGATAGGAGGAGACGACGCGGGGTAGCCAATCGCTTGCAGCTGCAGCGGGGTTTCTGTGGTAAGGAGGTGGGAGGATACGAAAGCAGCAATTGGATATGAATTTAGCCCAATAAAGAGCACTCGAATATGCCAATCTTCAAAAGGAGAGACCAGGGAAATAACAGATAGTGGAGAGGAAAGCAGAAGGTGAATGGGATAGTCAAAGATGACGATGGAAAAACCAGGCAAAGACTGACCGCCCACGCTGTTTAGAGGCGCTAGTCCTGTTCGGGCATCCTGCCGCGTGGATGAGATGGAGCTCAATGCGGCAGGCGGTGGGCCGTCTTACAAGAATATGTAAACTAAATACACAACAAATGACGTAATTGCTTTCCTTTCAGTACCATACAAAATTACCGTACTTTGCCCGCCGATAAATACACCATGAGTACTCTGGCGGTATTCAGCATTTCTTCTGTAAGCGTCATGCGATTTGACATTTCCCTGTTCGGTACTGTCATGGCTGCGTCCGGCCGAAACCATCCTTGCTATCCAGGAGCATCATCTTCCCCGCTCCCGCATGTTGATTGATACATAGGTGGTCCTGCTGGTTGTTTGTCCGCCATATTCCTACATCTGGCGCGCTGTCTCCCCCCAAGTCGCATCGCATAAGCCAATTCTGTCGCACAGGCTGACCGGACCCGACCAGGTGCACCCACGTGGGAGGTAAGTGAATGGAATTGTCCCTGCCTGAATCTCCCCTTATCCGCCTGTCTCACGGCCCCGAGCAACCGACTGATGCGCCGTGGCCTCAGGTACCCCACCCGATCATGGCCACGCAAGATGTGCCTCCTCACTTTGGAGCCGAACTCAAGGTAGGTCTCTCCCATTGCTTGGTGTGCTACTAGAACTAACCGCATGCGCTTGGCAGGATGCCTTTAAACCCGTCAACCACTGGGTATGTCCACCCACCACACGACACCTGGAGGAACGTCGCATATCAGGGGTTATGCTCATGACTCTCTGTATAGGTCTCACACGGAATATCATGGCTGGACGAAATCCAACAATTCTACCGCGAACGCAGCGCCATTGAGAAGGAATATGCAGCCAAGCTGACGGGTCTCTGCAAAAAATACTCCGATCGCAAAGCGAAGAAGATCAGCACCTTGAGCGTCGGCGACACGCCAACCATGACCCCTGGCTCCCTCGAAAGCGCTTCCCTCACGACATGGACTACCCAACTGACGGCGGTTGAAGCCCACGCGGCGGAACGTGATCAGTACGCTACGGATCTGGTGGTGCAGGTGGCAGAGCCTATGAAACAATCAGCGACGCAATATGAGGAGCTGCGGAAGTGTCATGTCGATTTCTACGGGAAACTTGAAAAGGAGCGGGACGCGTCGTACAACGATCTCAAGAAAATGAAGGGCAAGTATGACGGCGCGTGCCAGGAAGTCGAGACCCGACGGAAGAAGATGGAGAGCTCGTTTGACCACAACAAGCCCAAGTCGCAGGCTGCATACCAGCAGCAGATCCTCGAAATGAATAATGTCAAGGTTGGTCACTGGGTCGCCGTTCTGTCTTGCGCCATGTCGCATGCTAACGGTATCAGAACACGTACTTGATCACCATCAACGTGACCAACAAGCTCAAAGAGCGCTTCTACCACGAATATGTCCCGGAGCTTCTTGACGTATGTCTCTGGACTACCTCGCTGGGATTTTCCCGCTAATACCAGATAGGGCCTACAAGACTTGAATGAGACTAGAGTCACGAAGCTCAACTCTCTATGGTCACTCGCGGTGCAACTTGACAAGACGTATTTATCGCGTAGTATGGATCACATGTCAAAACTACTCACGGAGATTCCGCGGAATCTTCCGCACCTCGATTCGCTCATGTTCGTGCGACACAACGCCACGCAATCGACGGAGCCCCCCAACCTCACCTTCGAGCCCAGCCCTGTCTGGCACGACGACGATGCACTAATTACGGACGAGTCCGCCAAGGTGTTCCTGCGCAACCTCCTCAGCAAGAGCAAGACACAGGTGCGCGACTTACGAGTCGAAGCGGACGAGAAGCGACGCGATGTGGATGGCGTGCGACGAGTCCGGCAGAACGTCCAGCAAGGAAAAGACACGCGAAGCGAAGTGGAGGTGGTCCGATCCATCTTCTTATTACAGGGCACATTGCACGACGTGGAGCGGAAGAAGCTCACGGTAGAGGTGGAGACCGCAACCGTCATGTCAGCCGTGGGCGATCTTTCGCTCGGAGCCAGGAACCACAATTTCAAATCGCAAACGTTCAAGATCCCAACAAATTGCGATCTGTGCGGGGAGCGGATATGGGGTCTATCAGCCAAGGGATTCGACTGTCGGGATTGCGGATACACATGTCACAGTAAATGCGAGATGAAGGTGCCGGCGGAATGCCCAGGCGAGCTCAGCAAGGAAGATCGGAAGAAGGCCAAGGCTGAGCGACAAGAGCATGCCAGTGCCACGCCGGTCGTCGACCTCGAATCACCAAGCACATCCTCCGTGGCGCCGTCTCTCACGCGACAGAACACGATGAATTCGCTCAGCTCAGGTTACGCCGCCAGCGCCCAGCGGTCTATGTCCAACGTAGGAGCGCTAACTCCGGGCGAACCCGCATCGCCAGCCCCGGCACCAATCCAGGAGACCAAACCTCCAGCCGCCAAGCGGGGGCGCGTTCTCGCCCCGCCCCCAACGCAGTATATTCCGCCGCCCCCAGTGGCGGATTCACCGGGGCCTACCCAACGCGGGAAAATGGTATACGATTACCAAGCCGGCGGACCCGACGAGGTTACCGTTCAAGAAGGGGAAAGCATATCTATAATCGAGCCAGACGGTACGCTCCCTCTCTCCCACTCACCTACCACATACTAACGAACACAGACGGATCCGGATGGATCAAAGTCCGCGTCGGATCGCAAGAAGGCCTCGTCCCCGCATCCTACGTGGACGTCGCACCCATGTCATCTCCCATGCCCGCACCCCACCTCGACCGTCCCGACTCAGTCTACTCGAACTCATCCGCATCGCTAGCAAGCAGCGCAATCGGCAAAAAGGTCGGACCAGCGGTAGCCCCACGGCGGGGGGCCAAGAAGCTCAAATACGTGGAAGCGCTATACGACTACGAAGCGCGCAGCGACATGGAATGGAGCATGACGGAGGGAGACCGGTTCGTGCTAATCAACCGGGATACTGGCGACGGATGGGCAGACGTCGAGCGCGGCGGGGCGACCAAGAGTGTGCCCGCCAACTACATCCAGGAGGTATAGATGTGAACTGGGGGGTGGTTGGTATACGTGATTTGTTTTGCTTGCATCAGGCATGGGGGAGCATTGGAGCACTGGTCTGTTTGAGGGTTTCAATTGGATCATCCTGTGCATGGTTGAATGGCGTGTCGTCTGCTATCTGCAGTAGGTGTCCATGTCGCATCGCCTCGACAGAGGCTTGTCTATAGAAATGGAGTGGAAATATCATCATGGCAGTGATTCATCTTAGCTAAGCTAACGTGAAACAAATCAACCTTGAGCAAAGTAGGACAAAACAAAAAAAAAAAAAAAAAAAAACCAATCTCAAAAGGAAACCATTGTATTACCCCAACCAGCTCACTACACACCCAATCCAATCCAATCCAATCCATTCCAATCCATTCCAGCCCACTACTGATCCATATCGGCACTAAAAAACACCCTACCGTCATGCCGAAACTCAATCCTGACCTTCCCTCCATCAAGCAACATCATATACGCTCTATGATGGAACTTATCATACTTGACGCCCTCGGAGTTCGTACAAGGGACGAGCTTGGGCGAGTCCAGCCTATCGCCGATGTCAATGACAGTTTCCAGGATGGTTTCGCCCTGCTCGAGGGCGTCCATGGAGCCTAGATAGTCTTAAGTTATATTCAGATCTTCAACAACAGCGGGAAAAAAAGAAAGGAAGAGTATAAGGGGGGAAAGAAAGAGAGGTAGAAAACAAAGAAGGGGGAGAGTCACCTGCAGACCCCAGACACGTAGGAGGGATTTTCCCCTCGAAGGCGTGGACCCGAATACGCATTTTCGCGGGACCCGTTTCATCCCAGGTTCGGTACAGTGCGCATGTAGTCACCGCTTCGATCTCGCGATACTCGCTCTGGAGGTGATATCAGCATTGCTGTGTGTCTGCATGTACGTGGGTAACATGTATTATAGCATAACATGGTATAATATGTCAAGCCGTCATCAACCGATACACACAGCCCGGACTAACCCAGGGCTAGGCTAGACGATAGGCAGAGAGAGGAGAGGAGAGGAAGAAAAGAGAAAAGGTGGGGGGGGGGGGGGGGGGGGAAGATAAGACGAACTTTCCCAATCAGCCATTTAATTTGATTGACCGCATCCCAGCGCTCCTCAAGGGAATTCCACGACTTGTCCTCTTCGTTGTGGATCTTCTCGTCGAAGCTTGTTCTGACTGAGATGCCGTAGTGGCGTTGGGTGACCACGGGGTCCCTCGTTAGGAGGGGCCGTTTGACTGTTACTCTGAGTGAAGGTTTCTCCTCGGGTGGGTACGGCAGGCCTTTCTTTTTGGTGTTGAAGATCGTCGACACGGAGGAGCTATCGTCGAAGGCTTTGGACTTTTCGTCGAAGGGTGGAGAGTATCGGAGGCTGGTTGGGGAGAGGGGGGGAAGTCAATATATACGCGTACTTTCTATACGTCTGAAGGAAGAGAAGACACGTAGTGGAAAGGATAGAAGATGAAAGAGCTTGGAATAGCAGACTAATAAATCGGGGAGACAAACACGTATGACTTCTTCCTGCGGCTGGTTTTGTTCACCCCCCGAGTTAGGGCTTATGGTTAGTAACTGACAGGACAGACAGACAACTGGAAATGGTATAGCCTTGTACGTACGGCCACAGGGATCGGAGTGTTTGACAGATAGTCATGATAGCTTCAGATCTTGCGGGGATCTAGCTGTATCTGTTTGACGGGGTGGGCCTGATAGAGTGCTAGGGTTGATGGATGGTCCGGGGATGAAGAGTAGCCCCAGCAGTGGGCGTTTTAGCTTCTTAAATAGCACATATTCAAAAGAGGGGTATAATCGTCAGCGTGTCATCATTATCTGTTGCCCCTGGTATTCTAGAAGCCATAGGTAATGATGACGGGAGAGTGAGGGTTAATTTTGGCGTTGTCCAGTCGGACTCCTTTTCCGATCATCGTGTTGATGGTTCGGCGTTGAGGGGGGGAACTGTTGGACATTGGTCATTATAGGCTTTGGGCAGATTTATCGCCTATGGTATGTATTATATGGAGTCCAGATAGTCACTAATGGCTACTTGATGTTTATTATGATTGTCAGTCCCATATGGGGTTCACTTCATCTTTACTATCACACGGATACAATCTGTCGAAACTGGGAACAGTCTATCGGCTTTAAGAACATGTATAGTCCATTTCCTCGGAGAATAATGCATGACCAGATGCAGCGAGTTAACTCCAAGGGCCCATGGAACGGGCGTTCTCTGAGTGTATAGCATCGAGGGGTGTCGTCAGGAAGCCCTAGAACATACATTCAGCCGATACAAACCCCTCGAAAAGATATACTGCAAAGTGGACCACAAACCCCACGCTAACGATCAATTAGGAAAGTGAAATGATCGATTGCGTGGACCGTGAGCTGTCGATCAGTCGATGAGACTCATCATACTCCACTTGCTCATATATTACATAGTATAGACGGTAGACTGTAGAGAGTCTCAAACCAGGCCCATTGCAATACCTTCCCATCAAAGTAAAATTTATAATCCGTTTCCCCGCTTGTGTACCTGGAACATGTCGTCATAACAAACCGCGCAGACTGGCGAGTCAGGTACTCTTTTTCTTCATTCGGGAAAAGGTTAGGGCTTTATACTGTGTGGTAAATCTGACCTTGCTTTCTTGTACTACAAATTGATAGTATAGAGTGTGGTGTCTGTTCTTCTTGTGTTGGGGGTTTATCCTTTCAAATAATTAGACTTTTAGGTAATAGCCATTCTCATGATTAGTAGCTGTCAATTCGCATTCCTGGCTTGTCAATGAAAATAGGAAGAATAATAATATGCGAGTTGAAGTCTCTCGGTCTGTTCTCATTCTATTCATGATTTCATCCGATGCAGAGAACCCAAGAAGTGACGAATGCTCGAAACAAACAACCACTCATTGCACCGTTTTCGCACCATATATACAAACCTACCACAACATATAGAAAGAGACAGAAGTATATACACCACCCAAACCAAACAAAAACAAGAAACACCAATTCAAACAACCCACCCATCATGTTCATCATCATCATAATTCACCATAACAATCATCACTCATGACCCCCTTTTCACCTCATCATTTTCTCCCCCTAACCCTCCCAGACCTGAATCAACTACCAAGTAGATAGTAGTCTAAACAGACCCCTCCCCCAACCAACCCCAATCCCCACCCAACGCCCCAACATCAACATCCCCATCCAGCACCAACTCCCCAAACGCGTCAGCATCTACCTCCCCCAGCCCGTCAAAATCCATCATACCGGCATCCTCACCCGCCAACGCCACCATGCCCGGGAGATCAGCCATCGAGCACAACGGCGCCGCACTAGCCGCAGACGACATGAGGTAGCTGAGGTCTGCGCCGGTCGACGCGGGGAGCAACGTGCTGGTCGGATCGTCGGACATCATCGAGTGATGGTGGTTCGCGGGGGACAGATGCTGCTGTCTATGAAGATGCGGGGGAAGGCTGCTGTTGGGGGATGGCGACTGCGTGGTCGGGGGTCGCGGGGCGATGGGGACGAGATGGGTGGGCGAGGACCTGGAGCTTACGCGGGCGGGAGGGGTGGTTGACATGTGGGGTAGAGAGTCGGATCGTTGCTGATGATTATTAGTTTGAATTCGGTCCAATTGGTCAATTGGGCAATAGTGTCAATAATCATTCGGTTGATTTGCGCAATTGACGGGAATGAAGAAAAAAAGGGATACCTTTTCAGCACGCCTGAGCCGAGCATGATCATCTGGGGTCGGACAGGGAGTGAGGTTACAGACGGCGCAAGTCGAAAACGGGCGGCCTTTTCTGTTGATCTTCGTCAATGGTCTGTCTTCACTCCGAATCCGTCCTTGTTAGTCTCCAGTATATATCAGGGGAATCAAGAAGCCAAAAGAATAATGGAAGAAAGAGAAGAACGAAGGGAAGAATACCATGATGTTTACATGTCGTCACCCGATGACCGCGCACGCAAGCTTCACAGGCCCACTTTTCACCGTCGATGAGCATACCTGGGATAACTCGATACCCGGTGTCCAAGGGGCCCCCATGATGGGGATTTATACCCCGACGAGAAAAGCACGAGAGGGGGAAAACAACATCGTCATTCAACCGCGGTGGGAAATGGAGAAAAAAAAATTTTATTTTTTCTCTTCCTCAAAATCGAAAAATTGAATATTCCGATTTGGTGATGGCCAGACATACAGGGGAGAAGGAGAATCGTTTACACAGCCACACGGGAGGCTAGAATGATCTGGTCGGGGAGGGGAATTTGGTGGTGATGCGGCATTTTCCATGTGGTTTCATTTGGTGCTGGTTTAGTCGGGCAAATCCCTCATACTTGATTGCTTAGCTTAATGGTTGTTTTTGACGTGGGGCTGGATTGCTGGTCGGTAATCTTGCTGCCTGGTTAGCCGGGGGATGTACCTTGGTATGTACCTTCAGTACCAGGGGTTGTTTTCTATAAGGTAGAAGATCTCTCTTCTTCTTACAACTTTGATATGGAAAAAGAAATAAGAAGAAAAAGAAAAAGCACTGACTGTGGCTGGTGAAGCTTAGCTATACTTTATTACTCCGGATCATACAACTAGGCAGTAGGTAGTAGTATAACACGATAGACAGCTACACACCAAAGCTCCAGCCAAATAAAGGTAGCAAGCATCCTAAAACCAAAACTCACGATAAAACAATCCCATCGTGTGCAAAAATGGAGGTGGCTGAGCAGCTTGACAGCTTGACACCTGCAACCCTAACCATACCAAGTCGGGTTACCATCGCCACATGCTGCAATCAACAACCGATGAATTGGCACGGCTGAAAGAGACCCCTATCCAGATCAGGCAGGTGGTGAAGACCAGCTCCTTCCTGACAGCTAAGTAACTAGCGAACTTCTTACCTAAAACCTCTGTCCACAGTCCACAGTCCAAAGTCCCGTCGTCATTCCAGGTGATTGCGGGATTAATCTAGCCAACCGTTCGATCCTCGGTTACGAGGTTCTTCTTTCTACCGTGTGTTGGACGGGATCCTCAATTCAGGATGGTGTCTTTTTTTGGTTTCTCTTTGTCATGCTAATATCGTCATAATCTTTCCCCTTCTTATCGTGATATACTATTGAAGTCGTATATTCTCATTGTGTCATACCAAGCTTGAGCGACATCGCTAGTGACGGGCGGGACCACCGGGTGGACTGTGCGTTTGCTGCTTATGCTGTCTGGTGGCTTGATAGCTGCGAGGCTTTTCTTTTTCTTCTTTTTTCAGGTATACTCTGGGCTCTTCCTCTTTTTCTCTTTCTTTCTTTCTTTTCCACTTTGTCGTCCCGTCTCTTCTCATTAACCTACCCCTCCCCCACCTGTGTCCATCAATTCCATACCATCAAACAGCAATCCACCAAGTCTTGGGTAGAATACTCTATCCAACCCACCAGCGCGACAGCAAATCGCGAACTAGGTATATCAACCATAGCCAGATTTCAGTCCTGAAAAAATGAACCCCGTCACTCAATAATCTCAACACCACCATCAGGACTCTCTCAAGAAACAAATATATTTGTCCACGAGCTCATCAATAGTAGCATCGGCTAGCTACGTACATACAAAGCAGTCACACAAGGTGGGCACCCCTGTGACCGGACAAATCCAGCCAGCCAGCTATTTACCGTACGAGGTCAACGTTAGACTACAGACGCCATGTGAGCGCAGAGAGAGTTCGCGCATAGTAGTTTATATATATATGGGGCAAAGGACACCACTCGGCTACAAAAGATATCTAGACACTTCTGAGCTCTGTTGATACCCTTTGATAGCTATCTTGACATTGTGACAATATACAGGGGCGTCTGAGAATCTCGAATAAGGAGAAACTGGCCTTGATAAAATTCTGACCTTGTACAATACTGAGTAGTATGGTTGGCAACGCCTCGGGGTGTGATACCCGATAATAAATCCTTAGGATATGTGTGGAAAAATGGGTCAATTAGGGATTTTCCTCTCTAAGCGGGTTACAACCGATAAAAACGGCCAAAATATCGATGATACCGATGCATATTGAAGCTACGAGAATGTTGCGAATAGTTTCAAAAAAAAAAAAAAAAAAAAAAAAAACACATACTCCTTCTCATTCCAAAACGAAAACGCAATATTCTGCAAATTATGAGTATCGGAAGTTTCTGCGATGGAGCGAGTACAGCACAGCAAGGTTGGTTAAATTGGATACGGATTGAGAAAGTTTTGAGAGATAAAAAAAAAAAAGAAAAAATTGAAACGAATGGAGTCAAGTTTAAAAAAAAAAAAAAAAAAAAAAAAAACCTGGGGTCGACATTCATGATTTATGCGAAGTACTAATAATCAATACACTTGGCTCATAGTCATAGTTCAACAGATAGTAAGTCAAATATGTAGCCTACGAAAACCACACACAGATGGTGTTGTGTAGGAGAGAGGAAACCATAGGGTGGGGAATAGGGGAAGAAATCAGAAAAATTTTTTAAGGAAAAATAAGGTTATTACATGTAGTATTCAGGGGTTGATCATGATCATCATGTCCATCACGCACATCATATGTGGACTGTGGAGGATAGACAGGATCAAACGTCCCGAGGTGTTCATGTATGAAGATCACTTCGATCACTTCAGATCTGAACTGACTCAGTTCGATCCGTGTGGGTCTATCATGTTATACCATCCATATACTGTTACATTTGCATTTGCATTTACAGAGGTGTCAAGTAATCGACAATGCTACGATGAAAGCCTTCATGGAAAAGTAATGTATACTAGCGAGCTAGCAACATATCAATTAACTGTACAAATATGCTATTTCACCCCGCCTGCATTTGAGACAAGCCAGCTAGGGAACGACAAACAGATCCACTGACTACCGCAAACAACACCATCGAAAAAAGAAACGCTTAAAGCAGGACAAGACCGGCACCGACAAGGGTCGACACCAGGGTGACCGCTCCGACGAAGAAAGGAGCCACACTGAGGCTGGGCACCTTCAGACCGGCGGCGGCACCGGGGGAGGCGCTGCCGGAGGCACTGGAGCCGGAGCTGGAGCCGGAGCCGGGCTCGGCATCGCCCTCCGAGGTGGTACCCGCGTTTTGGCTGCCGTCGCCCTTGAAGCCGTCGCCCTTGCCGGCGCCGTCCTTGAAGTACTTCTTAGCGGGCTCGGGGATGGCGGGGAGCTTGTCGTCGCCGACGTCCCAGTTGGGGCCGTCCTTGGCGGGGCAGGGGTTGGAGCCACCGGTCTTGTTGAAGCCGCCGTCGCCCTTGGTCTCAGCCTTTTCGAGGGCCTTCTTGAGGGCGTCGAAGTCGGGCAGGTCCTTGACCTTGTCGCCGACCTTGACGAGGCCGTAGTTGCTGTCTTCCTGGGAGTACTCGTAGACCAGACCGCCGGAGTAGACGCCGGTCATCTTCTCGGAGTAGAGGGCCTCGACCTCGCCGAAGTCGCGCTTGTTGGTGTTGCAGCCGTACTCGGACAGGAAGAGGGGCAGGCCGTAGCCGGTGAAGTTCTCGACCTTCTGGTCCCAGCCGGACTTGGTGAAGGACGAGGGATCACACCAGGAGTAGTCGTTGAAGGCGAAGAAGTCGCTGCGCTCGTCGTCGGTACCGCAGTTCATGTACTGGGCCATCTGCAGACGGTTGGTGTTGATATCGGCGGCGGAGTAGCCGACGGGGATGGAGCGGAGCTTGCGCTCGCGGAGGTACTGGCGCAGATCACGGGTGACGGCCTTGACGTAGGGGGCGGCGGACGACGAGGGGCCGTCGTTGATCACCTCGTTACCGGAGAAGAAGGCCAGGGTGTTCTTGTACTTGGCGAACTTCTCGACGGTGGCGAAGATGTACTGCAGGTAGACGTCGTTGTAGGACTCCTTGGGCTTCTTGCGGTTGATGGAGTACTTGGGGGTGTTGACGTCGAGCACCAGGTAGATGCCAGCATCTGCCAGGGCTTCCATGCACTCGTCGTGGTCGGCCGAGTTGTCGACGGAGTAGACACGGATGGTGTTCAGGCCGAGGTCCTTGAACTTCTTGATGTCACGCTTGCAGCCATCGGTATCGGAGATGGGGTCCGCCAGGTCGGACGAGCCACCGGGCTGGTAGTCGACACCACGGATGTAGAAACGCTCATCACCCTTGAAGAAGGCATTACCCTTGACGGTGATGGGGGTCACGTCGTCACGAGCCTGGAGGGGGGTGGAGGGGACGGCCAGGACGGAGGAAACTCCGAGGGCCAACGCCGTCGCAACAGCAGAGGTCTTCATGATCAATGTGGGACCGATAAACTGTTGGAGTGACTGATTTGGAGAGAGAGTAGAGGTATAAAATTAGAAGGTAGTAATAACCCGGGGTACAATAGAATTGATTAAGTAGTCTGAACGAGTGACTGGGAAGATGGCAAAAAAAAGATAAAATAGGGAAGGAAAGGAGAGACAGGGCCGCAAGGACGAGAAGGGGAGGATGGAGAGGGCGTAAAGAGAGGGAGGAAAGAGAAGGGAAAGAAAGAATGAAAGCGTGAATGCAGGACGTGGCGCACTTAAAACGCTGTATTTCCTCCGGTATTCGCCTGCCCTTTTTCCTCCCTTCCCCTTGATTGTCTTGGTATTCTTGGTAAACAAAGGGACTTTTTCCAAGGGGACTGACTCGTCATCTTGCTTGAAAGTTATCACCAGAAAGGATCTCCTTCCTTTCGGGCAACAGATCGACGCCAGGGTTAGGTGGCCAATCTATCGGCAACGTCGCGGCTCGAGGTGGATTCCTGTTAACCCAATGAGAGGGGTGATACGGGGAGGAATGCGGCGATGGTCCTTTTGGAGTTATTTGAGCGAAGGACCGGAGCTGGAGGGGGTGGGGAATGATTGGGCCAGACAGTTGTCTGGGGTGTGGGTATTGTGGTACTGTTCGTTTGCTGTCTATCCGTACTATTCATATCTATCCACCAGTCCCAATATCATCCACCTCACTGGGTAATGATTATTGTGGTCATTCTATTTTCAAGGAGGAACCCCACCAGCTACAGAGTGGAGTAGAGGATGGAGGATCCATGCTCCTTCTTGGTCTCTCTTGATCCTTGGTCCTTCTTGGTACCTGCCGATCCCTGCCTCCCCTCCTCGATTGAGATTGCTGCCTTTTGCCACGGTGTACCAGCATTCCACTCGACTTGATTTGGGTTGCAGACGCGTCGAAA